TATAATTTATGAACTAATTAAATACTTATAGTGAAAATTATAAAGTAGAAACACTTTTTAATTTAACATAAAATATTTTATTTTTATATAAAACAATACGTGATAGCAAATCAGAAATTGATGGGAGCTAATATAACTTTATTAGTTCGATAAAATGAATAATTAATTTATTGTATATGAAATCATAATATGATTACTCTAAAATTTAATATGAATGTATCGTAGTTCGTAAACACTTTATTAGTGATGCTAGATATTACTGCTATGTTTTAAATGATTACCTTTTGATGGCTAGTGTAAGTTTCTTCACTAAATAGAAAGCTAAGGATTAAAATCCAAAGTATGTGTTACAAATGGAATTAACTTAATAAGTTGGATGGATTACTGAATAAAAAGATAATAAACTTTTATTGACAGCCTTTATCATTAAGTATCAGAATAAACTTAAATAATTTGTTGGTAAAATGGAGGATTTGTAAAAGTAATGAAATTTGTAAAAAAGTAGATTAAGAGAAAACATAAAAAATAGAGTCACATTTTATAAGATTGCAGATTTTTATGAAGCTTAATACAATCTAGGAAAAGGGAGTTCTGCCAAAGTAATTAAAATAAAAGAAATCGGAAAGGAATCATCTAATTTAGCAGCTAAAGCTATAGATAAAAATTATCTTTAAAAAAGTGAATTTGGAATGCAAGCATTTTTAAATGAAGTGTCAATTCTCGATTTTCTTAGTAAGTAAAACAGTAGTGTTTCATTCATCAAATTATATGAAACTTTTGAGGGTGATCATACATATTATTTAATATTAGATTTGATGCATGGTAGAACTTTAGCAGAAGAAATAGATTTTCTGAAAGTATAATTTTAATTAACTAAATTTTATAGTCGAAGAAAGAATTGTTTCCAATAAAGTCAGTAAAAATTATTATGTAGCAATTACTGGAAGGAGTAAAAATACTACATGAGAATAATATAATACATAGAGATTTAAAACCAGATAATATCATGTTTCGTGAATAAGATTAATATGATACTCTTATTATAGTAGATTTTGGATTGTCCACATTTACTGATGTTTCAAAATATGAATTTCCAAAATGTGGAACACCTGGATATGTAGCTCCTGAAATTTTAAATTTGATTGATAGAGAATAAAAATATGATAAAGTTTGTGATATTTTTAGTTGTGGATGCATATTTTATAAATTATTATTTGGACATAGTTTATTTTTTGGCAAGACTTTTGATGAAGTGTTAACTTAGAATAAAAAATGCAACTTTGTTCTTGAGGAACGCGAAATGGACATTATTTCAATAGAAGCTTAAATACTATTAAAGAAAATGTTAATAAAAAATCCATCAGAAAGAATTACTGCTAAATAAGCTTTAGAATCTGATTTTTTTAAGAATTCTCTTAATCTATCTATATAAAACAGTATTAAATATAAATTATTTCAATTTAGTACATAAAACATTTAAAATTAATAATGGAAGCAATTAAAATATATTTTAATCAACTGCAGATGGATAATTATCTGAAGCTGAATCTCCTTTCTAAAGAGTTTAAAATAAATAAAACAATTAAATAGATTTTGATGTTAATGTTGATATTTCGGAGAATAAATCTTCATTGATTGAATTTAAATAATTGCCAAAAGTTAAGAAACCTTCTTTTTGCAAATATGAAGATTCTACGTTAAAAAGTTTCTACACCAAAGATCCACTAAGTAGCTTAAAAAAAATAAATACTAGTATTTTTTTTTAATAAACATAGAATCTTTTAAAAATTTAAATGAATAAATAGATAAAGAAGGTAATCAATCTCAGATTGATTAAATGTAAAGAATCACGCTATTTAATAGATAAAAAGATAATTGATTTGTATTTAATAATACTTCAAACAAGTTTATTTACATTCATTCCTAGTAATTTTAAAAAACTTTAAACAATTAATCTTTTCTTTGTTGCTTTTTACAGTTTTATAATCCTTAAGCATTAAAAAGACCCATTAACATTTTATATGGAAATATTTTCTATAAATAAATAATAAATAACTTACTAAATGATTATTCATGTATTCAATGATATTTTCTGCTGATGTTTAATTAAGAACTCTAATGTATGATTCATACAAACTATTTTCAACATTAAAAGTTTTTGAGACTTTATGATAGTCATTTAACATAACTTCTCTACCTACATTATTAACCTTTTTAATTCTTGAATAAACAACAGCAAAAAGATAAATAAGTTCATCATAATAAAATTTTTATACTTCTTTTAATTATTATTAAGATAATCCTTGTAATTTTATTTCATTAGTAGATATAATTTTGTCTATTAATTGAATTCTTTATTAATCTTCTTTATCATTTTATTTTAATTCATATTTGCATTAAACTAATTAAGCATATGGTTCCAAAGTTATACAATCTCTTATTACTATTTCTTATAATTGACTAATCATTGAATTTAACTCTGAATAAAAAGGTTTAAATTATTAAAATACTTCTTTAATTGAATCAAATTCATTAATTATAAAAATAATAGATTCAATATATACAATTCTATCCATTAAATCGAATTATTAGGTTTTTTTAACCTTTAAATCTTCTGGAATATGAATTTTTTTCAAATATCGAATCAAATCACCGTATCTTTCTCTGTATAGGATTACTTAACTATTATGTTCAAATTATTAAGTATATTAATCTGGTTCTTACTTTTAATCATAATTAAAATTTAAAGTATCATCAAATATATATCTTTTATGTTCATCCAATATATTAGGAATAGATAAAGTATATATATAATAATTAATTAAAAATATTAATTCCTCAACTAACTTTTCTCTATGTTATTTAAAAAATTTAATATAAAAAAGTTACTGTTGAATGATAATATATATTTAATTAACAGTTTAAGTCAACAACAATGTCCTTTCTTTTCCTTAATATATTAAACTAGAAGTATTGGTTTATTTTTTAAAGGAAACAGTTGTACCCATTATCAAATCAATAATTTTTTTGTATTCTATAGATTTGAAGATATTCAATGTATCTGGAAATGGATCATTATATTCAAAAACGTGAAATTTTGTTGATTTATTAGCTATTTATAAAATAATTTATGTTTAATTAAGTGTTATTTTCATACATTTTTTACAATCTTCATTTATTAATTATTCTTTGATTTATTTATCATTTCCTCTTGATTCTAAATAAGTATTAAATTTATCTTCAATGAATATTTTATATTTCTAAAGATTTTGTCCCCCAAATACTTCACATTTAGATATTAAAATAGTAAGCATACCAAAAAAACAAATCATATCTTCTTTGTTCATTCTTGGCCAACTTGTTGTTTGATTAATAAAATCACAAATTCGATCAAAAACTTTTTCATAAATTAATTTTCTAATTTCTATAATAGATGAATTTTAAAAATATTCTAAATGAAATCTAATAATTAAATGTAAATTCATAAAGAAATGTATTGTTTAACAACATAATTCTCTATAAAACTCTGTTAATTAATCTTTTGAAATTTGATTTAAAGAATCTGTTAAATTATCGAAATAAAAGTCAATTGATAAAATTTGACTAATTTGGTCAAAAACAATTTATAATTTAGCTTCAAATGCTCTCAGTATTAATAAATGAACTATTGTTTCATAAGGTTGAACGATGTCATGTTTCTTGTTTAATTAATAGACATACTTCCATATAAAGATACGACTCATAATGAATTTTGTATATTTTTTCATCATAATTTATAAACTAATCTATTATCCCTTTACATGTTATTTATCTAACATATTCTATTCTATCTTCTTTATAATTTTTAGGTATGAATTACAAACCATCAATTATTTCCGCATTCTAAATATTCAATAAAGAATACCGTGATTGTAGGAAGATAGAATGAAGCATCTATATATCCATTCTACATACTTAGTATAAATCTTTCATAAGGTAAAGCATACTAATTTTTAATTTTTTTTAATATTTCTATCAGTTTCTATAATAATATTATTTATTACTTGAATATTCAAGATTTATTGTCTTTTCTCTAAAATTTATTTACTTTGCTTTAAAACAATTTATTATGTTTTTTGCATATTTTCTCTACTACTTCTAACCTTTAGGAGCAGCTCCTAACTAATATTTCCAATTTAATCTATATGAGTTAAAGCTTAGAGATAACTAGAGTAATTAGTGAATATATTTTTAGATAATTTTGTTTAGATTACATTCAAATAATGATCATATCGCTCAATCTATCTCTAAATACTGATCATTTAAGAATTCATGTCACCTTAAAATATATTACCATATTCAATTTTTTCAATTTATGTTTAGATGTCTTAATTTTCATCAACATTTTTATAAATATTATTTAGAGCATCCTAATTGATATCAACATCTCCATAAAGTTCAATCAATCTTTAAACATTTTTCCTAAGAATTTCTTCTGTATTACTTTCATGAGTTCGAATCGAATGCTATTTTTGTATTTCTAAAATTGAGGTAAACATCCTAAATTTGTCTTCGTCATTCTTATATTATTGCAATATTCTATTCACATCACCAATATTAATTGGAGGGACGTCTTTGTACTTTTTTTTTATATAATCTTTTTTTTTATTAAACATATAAAAATTGTGGAATAAATTTATAATATTTATCAATTATTCTAATTTTGCAAATTATAGTTGATCATTCAAAGTAAAATTTAGATAAACTGATGCTAATTTAAAAATAAGCCAACTGAATTTTTTGTCGCTTTTTTATATTACACAATATTTAAGTATATAACATAGGTTAAAGAATCAAATATTAAACAATAACTGCATAGTTAATTTATAATTTTGTCTTTGAAAAATAAAGATATATTTTGAGTTTTAGCTGTCCAATTTAGATGTAGTTATCTATATGAATAGTTTTTAACATCGAAATTTCAGAATTGGGTGAATCAATTTATATTTATATTGGTTTCTTGTATTTATAACTGAATAAATATATTATCATTATTCAGTCGTACTCCTAACATCTTTTTTTCTAAGATTATTTACATTAATACTAATTGTTCAATTTAATCCTATTGACCTTTAATGAATTTTAAAGTTTTTAATTAGGATTATTTTTTTTAATCACGTTCGTCTTTGATTTGCAGAAACAATTTTATGACTTTTTCATCAATACTACATATTGCCATCATTTGATTGATTATCTCTTCTACTTTAATTTGAAATGAGAAATCAATTTAACCTCTAGTTTTTCTGAGTATATTGATTGATTTTTCTATTTTAGCAACGGCATCCCATTTATTTAATTCTGGTTTTGAATCTGTTTCACTAAAATTAAAAGTCTTTGCTCTCTCTGTTTTAACAATAGGACTTTTAATATGTATACTACTGGATTGTTTTGCTAAAAGGATATTTGAAACCTTTTTAATACTTTTGATGAGTGATAAAGAATTTGGAGAACCTAATTTTGGAGCAAATAAAGAAGGTTTTGAAGATTTCTAAGTTTAAAGAGTTGGTTTACTGAAATTTTTTGGTGTACTCATTGAATGAAATAAATTTACTTATTTTATTATATAATAAACATTCACCTTAAATTAAGTTTCAAACTTTTTGAGATTGAGAATTTGTCCTAATTAATATTAACATTTTAAAAAGAAAAAAAGGCGAGACTTTTTACAAAAAATTATGTTGAGAATAAAATAAATTTATATAAAATAATTTATTTGAATATGAATTTTATTACTAGATTCTGTGCAACAGTAGGAGCAGAAACGTCTTTTGAAAGAGTAAAATTTATTAAATTAATCAAATAGGCTATATTAGCAGCTATATATAACAATACTTATCCTCCAGAAGAGAGTGATATAAAAATTATACTAAATACCCTTTCTGGTTAGGATAAAGAAACAGATAGAAGAATAGCTTTTGGTTCTATTATAAGAAAACTAAAATAAAATCATACGGATGAAGATGGATGGATTATCATAATCAAAAATTTGATTATAATAGATAGGTATTTAGGTCACAAAAATTGATGAGGTGTGTGAATGATGGTATTCTATTATCACAATTTTGTGAGTTAGATTTACCTAACATTGAGAATCGATCAGAAAGAAACAAAAATAATAATAATTTGTTAATTCATGAGTTAATATCTAAATATTACCTTTATATAAAATTCAAATCCTAATAATTAAGAACATCATTTTCATTAACTTTATTCAGAAAAGAAAAATATTTGTACTTCAATCAACTACCAACTTGTTAAATTAGAAATGAAATCAATTTAATAATGTAATTTGTGAACAAAGCTTTTGAAGTAATAGATACCAAAAAAAATGGACATCTTAAATACAAATTAAATTAGTATGTATTTTTGATGATCCTAAATGATTTGTTTAAATACTATAGTTGCTCGCTTGTTGCCTTGCATATTTTGATTAAAAAAATCAAATAATAAGAATTAGAAGAACTTATTTAAATTGCTGAAATTACAAGATTGCTTTATAATTTCTGTAATTAACTAGACTCTTTTATTAACGAGAATAGGTTTATCAAAGGATTTGAATAGTATGATGTAAAGTATAAGGTATTTTTATATATAAATTTTAAGATTTCTACTGATTTATTAGAATTGGTTGTTTAATATCTGAATTTATATGAATAAACTTAAAAATCAACTTCTAGTTAGCCAAAAGAAATTAAATTTAATACTTAAAAATCCAAATTTATCCTAGAAAAGATATGTATTTAATTTTATTCATTTATCAGTCTCATAAAGTCTAAATTAAATTTAAAGCAATTATTTTGAAAATTTTCTAGAAAAAACTAACGAATTAAGTAAATTGGTAATTTATTGCAATTAATTCAAACATAATTTTAATGAAAGTATATTTTAAGGATTCAAAAATAATTTTTCATCCAAGTATGAATAATTATTTATATTGAAATTAGTTATAATTAAACATCCAATAATTTCAAACAGAATAATGAAACTCCTGAATTATAAAAAGAAGATGAGAATGATTTTTTAACAATAATTGAAGAGAACAACAAAAATTATAAATTTGATAAATAAATATATTTACTATATCCAGAAGCTTTTAATGAAAAAATGTTCTTAAATTTTGAAAATATTTATTATGTATGATATGAGAAAATGTGTATTAATAACTTATTATTTGTGAAATATGAAATAAATGTAAAAATAAAAAGATTTACTTGGCTATCTAAATAGATAAAAATAAATAAGAAATTACAATATGAATAGACATTTGAGTTTAGAAAATTGGTAGAGTTGTAAGAGTAAAGAAATTATATTATTTAATTTAATGGGCAAATATAAGAAAATGGTTACTTGTTCCAGATTTCTTTGATGCTGTTTAAATTATTTGATGAAATTAAATTAGATAGGATAAAATCAATAAACATTAGAATTAATGAATTTATCTTCATCTATGATTGAATTATAGGTTCAATAGTTTGGTTTCATTTCTAACAATATTAATAACATTTTTTTTAAAGTTATATATAAAATATCACACTTAAAAATAAAAATATAGAGGACATGCATTAAAAATTCATTTATTTCCAAACCTAAATGATGCTTATGATGCTCCTTAAACTTAATCAACTTTTGTTAATTTTTTTAAATTTTAACCAAGACTTAACTTCGAATAATCTAATTTAAGTTTTTAAGTTTAAGGTGAAGCAGATTACCTTGAAATATCCTCTTCAATATAATCTTTAGAATTTTTTGTTGCATTTTCATCTTGTTCAACAAATGAAGATTTTTTTGATTATTCAAATTAAAGTATTTATAATTTGCTTTTCAATTCTAATTCTTATTCTTTAAGATATTATATCTATTTTTGAGCTTATTCCATGTATTAAACCTTTTCTTCTTTACTTTGGACAAGAGCTAATGATAATTCATTTATTTTAATTTCTAACTATCGAATTTCTTGGTTAAAATCTTGTTTCGTATTTGATGATTAGGATTTCTCATTTTATTATTATTTTTAATCATTAATTTATTATTTCTATGATTCAATTTAAATCTTTAATGCCTCTAATTATTGTTTTTCTAACTAAATGAATATTTATAATTATACCTTTTATTATTCTTATCTTGCATCTTCTATAATAAACAAAGCATTAATAATATCATTTGGATCAGAATCGGATCCCAATTAAAGAATTTCTTCATATTCTTCATCAAGATTTTTAGAGACCTTAACCCAATATTGTAGTAATTGCTATTTGATAAGTTAATTCTCTTGTTGAAAGTCTTTTTAATTTGGAAAGTTTTCCTACATTGATAAAATAATAATTGATATAAAAATTATATTAATTGGAAAATATTCAAAATTACTAAAATCTGGATTTAATAGAATGGGAATCTTGAATCTTAATTTTAATTCGATATCTGCAATTCTTGTTAGCACAAATAATTGAAAAATAAGCATTTTCTAAAAAAGATCTACTTTTGTATTCTTTTAATCTATTTTATCTTTAAACTAAATCAGCTATTGAAATAAGCATCATTGTTACATTCAAACTATATCTAATCATTATTATCTAATTTCTTTTATTTTTATTAATTATTACTATATAGTAAATCCTAGATTTAATTTCTTCTTTTTTTATGCATCGAATATAATCCAAATGGAAATTTAATACCATCTATTTCATAGAAATTTTAATTTTTAAGAATAGATTAACATTAATTATGAGAATCTTTTTAAGGAGTTGTCCTCACAGAACAAGACAGATCTCTAATTATTTATTATAAATAGTTACTTAAATTTTTAATATTTAGTTTAAAGAGATGTTAATTCAAGGTTCCTTTATTATTTTGATTAGAGATTGTTATTTAAACTTGTCTCGAAACTGAATGATGTTTTTTTATTAATTTTCATACTCTCTCATTATTAATTTATAATTTACTTTAAGGCTTTGCAAGTATTCGTTTAGTAGTTACAAAAACATCTGGAAGTTAAAAGTCCAAATTTTTCTACTCAGTAAACGATAACTACAATTTTTTAATTTGGCCTATTTAAGTTTATTATATGTCTGCATTTTTCCATTTAGAATGAATTTCCTTTATCTATTCTGAATCATTTTTAATTGTTGCGCACTCAGATTTCATTAAATAATGATTTTATGATTAGATTTAATTTATTATAAAAATCATTAGAAAGCGATTCTTGATTCATAATTCCTTGTTTTGTAATAATTATAATTTTATTACTTCTATATTTGAGATGAGCAAAATTCTTATTGGGACAAAGTCTTTCTAAGTTATAAAAATTTTGGTTCTTGGTGAACAATCTGAGGAGATTTAAATTTTGGTATAGCAATTTATCTTTATGAAGTAATCATTGCTTTTTTATTATGATAATATTCTAATTGCTTTTGAGTTGGATCTGTTATTTATAATTTTAGGTTGTCAAGATATTCAAAAATAGATGTTTGATTCATTAGTTTAGATTAATTAATTAAAAAGTCCAAATATCATTTATATAATCATTTCTAGAATTAATCAATTAATTTTAAGCAATTGGCTGAGCTACTTTAGAATTCCTCAATAGCAGCATCTATACAATCTACTTCTTGATCATTCGTGTTACATATTTGACTATTAAGTGACTTTAATGATTATTCCCATTAAAGAATTTGTTCTTTAATTATTTAATTTTACTACTAACAGTTTTTATACTTTTTGAATTCTTCAAGTATCAGAATTTACTAATTTGAAACTTCCTATTTGTTATTATTTGACTATTACTTGCTTTAATATTTAGATATTTTAATCTAAGTTCAAATCTTTTTAAGAATCCTTTATCTCGCTTTTTTCAAGGTTTTTGTCTTATAATTTTTATTATAATTCCTCTACGATTATCTCTAACTATTATTTATCTATTTATAATTATTTGATCTAATTTTGTAAATCACTAATGTCCTATTAATTTTTAATCTAGATTTATTTTTGGGTATTATCACTCTTCTTTCTGTTTGCCATGGAATCTTGGTCATTTATTTTGCATTTACTTTACTTTAAATCACAAATAGAAGACTTTGATTATTTTTTATTTTCAATTGCAAATGGATTACATGATACAGCAGGTTTATTTGTTTTCTCAATTAATATTTATTTATCTTTTTGTTTCTTTGTTTCAAGTTCTTATTTTTGAATTGTCATCATAAGTGATTTTATCTCTTAATCCTTTTCTTATTGTTATTATTCTAAATTAGAAATAATTTTATTCAATCTTTCGTTTTCATCAATAACATTAAATATCTATTATTCCATTTAATGTATTTCTAGTTTAGAATCTCCAGCTGCTGCTTTTTAATATTTTAATTTCCATATTTCAATTTCATTTTATTGTGTGTCTATTAGTTCTTCTAACTTACTAACTCTCTCTTTAATTATGTGTAATTATTCATATTATTAAGCATTATGTTATAATTCATTTCTTGCTTTTTCTAATTCCTAATTAAGATAACAATTCTCATTCACCAATGATTGTATTTTACTTTCAATTGTATTAGAATTATCTTTAAAATAAAATTGCTATTAGCTTTTATTAGGTGTAAATGTTGATGATCCTCTAATTTATTAACAAATTATAGATTTTTAAGGTGTGCTAGGTGTATCTGAATATGGATTGCTATATCTGATTTGACCTTTAAATGGGCTGATTTATTAGAGTGGTATTTGCAATTTTTGAATTTGAACGTTCGAACCTGTTCTAATCATAACGTTTTATTTTAAATTATAATAAAATTAAATAGCAAAAAATATATATTATAGATTTATAAGAATATTCATAATATAAACATTTTAACTATAATCCTAAATAATCTGCCCTCGACTTAAAGATTATAGTAAAATTAGATGACCATTAAAAATTTAGATATTTAAATATAAATAATATTAAATTATTTAATCTCCATAGAATGTACCTTATTTTTTAATTATTTTCATTAACTTAAATATTTCAATCAGCCTCAAGATATAATCTCCATCATATAAATAATTGAGTTTAATTATTAAAAGTTTTATATTGAATTTTTCATTATTTATAATGAAAATCACAGTGTCTTTTATCTAATGCTTTAATAATTACGAATTAATAATAAATAAAAATTATTACAATTTTATTAAATTCATTTATAACTTTTACCTTAAAGATCTAATTGTTAAATTTAAAAAATATTAATACCCAAAAAAGTATCCAAAATTAAGCAACTACCTAAATAGTACTTTTATAGATAATTGACAAATCTTATGTTTTTTAAAGATTTTCGAGGTCTTCATCTCAATCAGTAGCAATTATAAATTAATTATATCATATAATAATATCAATTCCTTTCCTTGTTTACCATTTGACATTAAATTTTACATGCATATTTGAAAAATTGTTTGATTGTCAAATTTATTAAAATATATATTTACCCTTTCATTAATTTTTTATTTATAAATTCTTCAGTACTATAATAATAAAATACCAAAGTTAAAAAATTTATACAAAAAATATAATAAAAAATACTAATACACATAAAAATCTAACAATATTTAATATAAAAATTGATATTTGAATAACCTGAAAAGATTACAAAAAAAAAGCTTTAAGACATTTAAAAAATCCAATTAAGACAAAATACATTTTTGTCTTAAATCCTTATAGTAGAGTTAGCAATTTTGGACATTCATATCTCAGTAACTAATTTGAATTATAAAATTAATTTATTATTTTTCTACCAAATTACGATAGTTAGAGTTAATCATATTTCACATTCACAAAATAAAAACTAATAAATTAGTATTATTTATTTGATGAATTTTCTACTTTGTTTTTTTAGAGATTTACTCTGAATGAGAATAAAAAGTTAATTAGTCAAACATATTAAAATTTATTAATAAAATGGATTAAAAATATAGTATATAGCCATGTACTTCTTTGGTAATTCAAAGAAACAGGTTTAATAAATTTAATTACAAAAAACTACTTCTATTGAACCTAAAAGTCAAGCTACAAGCTAATAAAATAATTATTCGACTAACAATCATACTTTAATTTAAGTTGAATCTCAACCTTACATTCTTAATAATGTTCCATAATTATTTAAAAGAAAAGATTCTAAATCATAGACATCATTTACAAAATGTTAAGAGCATAAGGAAAATAGAAAGTTTCGATAGACAAATGATGATTATGATTTAGTGATGGCTAATGAAGATGGAAATTAATTTTTAAAATGATTTAAATATTGTAGTAAATTTTTTATTTAAAATACTCCATTTTCATAAAAAAACTAATTTACTTTATTTTAATAAGAAACATATAGATGGATATTCAACTATTCTATTAGCTTGAATTATCAAAGTTATCTAATATTTAATCTGAATCAACCCTTTACTATTTGCTTTGTTAAATAGTTCCATCATTAAGAAGATCATCTTCCTACTATTCACCATTATTTCTATATAATTAAAATTATAAGAATTCTAAAATATTTTCATCCATACAATCTACTAAATGTCTGTTTATCGGATCATGCATCTTAAATAATATTTCCTTATAGGCTTATTAGGCTTCTAAGGCCATTTAATAATTGCTTTTAATGGGTTTTAAAATAGAGAAATATTAATGGCCAGAAACTTCTTTTTCAGGATTTGAAGAAATTGTAGGTTTAGGTAGATAATCGAATAATTTTATTTGTTCTTTGGTTAGTAATATCATTTTTAATTTATCAATTTCATGTAATTTCTTTATGATATATAAAATATCAAAAGATTTCTCCATTCTATGAATAGAAAAGTTCATCTACTTAATTTATTAATCATTTTGATATAATTTCAAAGAACTAAGTATATACTTATAATATGGAATAGTAAGCTTTTTCGAAACTGTCTAAAAAAAGCCTTTAATTTATTAATTCAATTTATCAACAGTTTTAACTTTAATATCATCATCTTAAGAAGCTGCATTTTATATTTTCATACATTACAAATTCAACTCTTGAAGTTGTTGTTGAACCTTATATTAAGATTTTATAGAGGATCTGAAAGAATCTTATCTCTAAAATTTTGATTTTTTTATAGGAGTATTTGCTACTTTGAGAGGCGATATTAATTTTCTATTTGTTAGTTAGATATCATTTAAAGTATTTTTGTGTATATTTTCTGTGTAAATCTTACTTGATTATTTACTATTGATTATTGGAACATCTTAATGATCAAGTAAAAAATTATCTTAATCTTCATTAATAGTCTCTTCTTGTCCATCAAAATTAAATAATGAATTTATAATTTAAAGTTTATATGAAATAGTACTAAATGGGATTTATATTATCATAGCTATGGTGAACAAAACATTCCATAATCCTCCTAATTCAGCTAAAACAGTCTGGATTCTTGTATATTGTCTATAATTAACTTATTCTATTGTATGTAATCTAATTGCAACATTTGCTATTAAATCTTCTTCATTAAAGTCAATCATTTCTGTGTGATGTAAATATTTAAGTGTTGTATCATAATGAATATCAGAAAAGAAAGCTCCTGAATCTGTATATGTAGTAACTGGTTATAAATAGATAGTAATTTCTTTAAAAATTTAACTAGAAATAGTAGTAAATAAATCTTCTCCTTTAGGAATATAAGGAGTTTAAGTAGTTTATAAATCTACATAATATGATGACAATTGTAATGATAAATAATTGTGTGTTAATTTTTCTATTATTTCTTCTTTGCTCTTACATTATGGAATAGCTAATAAGATATTAGTAATAAGTACTTTTCTTTTTATTCTCTTCAGTGCACATTCTAAATTTGAGTAAAATATATTAATAATTCACAGCATCAAAAGTTCCTTACATATTTATCTTATCAATTGTATTCCAATCAATACAAAAATTTGTGGGCAGATCAAAATGTTAAAAATATTCTGCTAATGAATCTTACTTTATTATATCTTTCGAACATTATACTAATGGTAACTCAGCATAATTGTATATAGATTATTATGTACCATTTATTCTAAAATGAAAAAATTTTATACATTTCTACTGATTTGCTTACAAGAAAAGGCTCCACAAAATAAATTGATTCATCTATATAAGTGGCAAAGGTGGAATCTTAAAAGCCAAACTATAAAGTAAAATTGCTAGGTCTTAATTCAAATAATTTTGGTTCAGCATGATATACTTCTGTTGTTAATGTAACTGGTTTAGAACGATCTGTATAAACAATTATACTATTAACAAAAAATATTGCCATCACAACCATTACAATCATTGAGAGACTAGCCCCAATTATTGTTTTATGACCTTCTTCTTTTTTTATTAGCAGTTAAACTGGTTTAGTGAATAAATCAAAATGTCTAAAATAATGAGAGAATGTTTTAGCGTTCATTAAACTTGTTTTTTATAATTTAATATCTTAAATAAAATTTTCACTACGATATTTATATCATGTGATAAATAAAGTACATGACATTTTAGTTAGGCAAATCAGAAAAAAACATTTTCAATTAATTTTCTTTATTATTATACTTTGTATTTTAACGAATAAAAAATGACAACATATTTGCCCTTTCATAATTTAGCCTACTGTCCAAAATAAATCATTGAATTTGTCTAAAGGCCAGATATTAATTTAATAGATTTACACAAAATGTTAGAGACATTAAAATTACCAAGAAATCATTCGAAAATCTTAAGAAAAATGTAAATTCTAGTGCAAAAGCAAGAATCATTTTTGAATGAAGAAAATTCAAACATAAGAACTTGTTAAGATGACGATTCTATTTCACCAATGATGATTTTTAGAAAGTTCAGCTATTGAATATTTTTTTTACTATTATAATCACACAATAAAATAAGATGTATAAAACATGCTTTTATATTTCATGCTATGAATTGCTGGAGCTTTTTGATAAAATTAATATCAAATATAGGCATTTATTTTGGAGATTCTGAATTTAAGCGAATTTTAATTATATCAATATTATTATTATTCTTTTTGTTATCGCTATTATGATTATGATTATTATTAAGATTATGATAATTATTTTCATTTTTATTTATATTTAAATGTGGAAGTGATGAATTCGACTAAGTGATAACTTCATTTGGTGTTAATGCATATTATCTATGTTGATCAGCAATAAATTTATTAAGTCTTTTTTTTGTTAATTTTGAGGCAGTATCTGAAAATAATTTTCCTTAGCTTTAAATAGATTTAGGAAGATTTGGCAAACAACTAACCATAGATTTGGAAGGTTCATCTTCATTAACCTTCTTTATAATCCATTTACTTCCTTGACATGTAACTTCTACTTTGAAGTGTTTATTAAGCAAAGAATTAGCCCAATTTGATTTGTATGGATTAACTATCTATATTATTGCAACAATTTTATACTCTTATCATTTTTTAGACTTTTTTTTGGTTTTTGCTCTGAAATTTGAGATATTTATTCTGATGATAATTTATTTGACAGATCTTCACTTGTAAACTCGATTAAACTTATAGGTTAACTCAATTCAGCAACATATAGTTGACACTGAAAAAATAGGCTTGGCTATTGTTACATTATTTAATTTATGTTTTTATTTTTATTGGTATATGTTTTTTAAGTTGATAACTAGGCATAGATAGAAATAGTCACAATATTTAGATTTGTTTATACATTTATAATAATTTTTAACAAAAATAACGAGATAGATATGTTAGTAAAAACAACATTATTTTAAATTCTTATAGAAATAGAATCTACAAGAGATTGGAATTGATTGAATGTAATGTATAAAATGATTGATTTTACTAAATCAAAAATATAATAAAATATCATTCGACTATAGTAATCCAATTCATGTTTTCAAAATAATCAAGCAAAAGTTCTGGTTATCTATCAATTATTATTTAATTATCGACAAAAATTCTTTCTTTAGATTCTAATAAAACAACATATGATTATTTTTAATAAAACTCTAAAATACATCCTATTTGTTGATTAGTGTATTCATTTTGTATTGTATCTTCTTCCTATTTAGAATAAAAATCTTATATTAAATGAATAGGAGTTAATGATTTTTAAATAAGTGATGAACCAACGAATTTATTTTTTCTTGGATAATAAGCAATCTAAATTAATTAATAAATTTAACTAAAAAATGAGTTTCAAATTCTCTTACAATTTGAAAAGGTTTATCTATTCTCATGTTTCCTTTAATTTCTTTGTAATTCATGATAGGAGCTTTGAATTCAAGAAAAAATAGATTCTAATGATATTGGTTAATTAGATCATTACAATTATAGATTAAATTTTCTTTTAATTCCCTAGAGTTAATTAAAATAAATTACCATGTATTTTCTTCAATGGAATAACCAAGCCATTTGACTAAATACTCAATTTTTGAAAGATTTTAACGCATGGCAAGAATATCTTCAACTACAAATAATTCTTCCATAATAATAATATATAAAATTATTAAATGTAAATTGTGAATAGATCAATAAAAATTAGCTTAATTACAAATATAAAAGAAGGATAAATGAAGTTATAGTGTTTAGAATTACAAAATAAGAAAATGAAGCGATCTCATTCTTTTGATTTACCATCAATAACTTTATTATCATAAGGTCAATTGTTGAAAATGTAACCTAAATTTAAAAATATGCTGTTCATACCAAATTCATCAAATTATAGAAATTCAGCAAGAAAATCATAAAGATCAGAGAAAGCGGATATAATGGATGCAATATCGTAAACAAGTTAAGTAGTATCTGAAACACCTTAATAAAAAGGAAATATGAGAAGAGCCAGTTAATATGATTATGTAGGTTTGAAGTAAAAAAGATTGGATAGTTTAGCTCCATTGGTGTTTATACATTAGCATTCAAGAGACATGACAGTTTATAAAAAGAAAAAGTTGAATCGAATAAAAATGCAGTATAGTATATGAATAATGCAATTAGAATTTATGAAAAGATCAAATCTTAAGAAACAATAAAATTTGTAGCGTAGCAAAAGTTGTTTATTACCATAATAGATAAAAATTAGACATAAGAAAGCTAAAACAGTTAGTGATTATTTGTATTAAGGTCCAATATTAAAATTGGATACAGAATTAGAAAAAAAAATAAGAATGCTAATTTATTCATAAAGATGTTCTCGTTTGCTATTAAAAAGAAAGACATGTATATAAGAACCTTAAAATAACATATTTGTATCAAGAGATAAATTGTTGAGATATTAAGAAGTGATGTCTAAGAAATTTGTAAGTTTATAATAAATAAATTATATTTAGGATTAAGTAGATTCTTCATGTGAATCATCTCCTTAGATGATGACAAAGATATAATTTAAGAAGACTTAGTTTAGTAAGATATAATTAGTAGAAAATACAATAAGTTAATATTTAACTCCTAGATTAAATGGAGATTAAAATATAAATTTATTGAGTAGAAAAGCATCTCATAGTGTTATAGCTTAATATGTAAGAGATAAAAATAAGAAATTAAAGAGTAATGTTCGTTGTGAATAAAAATTGCCTTTGATAAAATAGCCAAGTTTGAATGAATTTAATCAATATTTTTTGGCTTCAAAAAGAAGTTTTGATGTGGGAAGAATAACTTAATAATTAATTTAATCAAAATCTTAAGATAATGGAATTAAATAGATTTAGTTAAATTAAAAACAAACTTAATTTATAAATAAATAGAAAAATATATTGATTTAATAAAAATCAGAGACTTAATTAAATTAAAATATACGTTTAAGGACATTACCAAGTGATATGATATTGAGTAAAAATAAAATCAGCTTATAATAAAAGTTGAGACCTTATCTTAAATGAATCTTAATTTGAATTAAATATTGTTTATATATATATATATAGATTAATGGTTTTTTTATAATTTGTGAAATAAAGATATAAATAATAAATAATAATGTAATTGTTTTATATTATTTTGAGGATCTACTAGATTAGTTGTTTTTTTATCTTTAAAAAAAATATTGAAATAGATCTCTACTGTTTAGATGAACTTTGAAATTAAAGCTCATGTTATAAGTTTTTACTGAAGATATTGCCAGAATTGTTGTTAAATACAGACCAAATACAGACCAAGATCTCTTATAATGGTTTTTAGATTTTTTATTAATACTGAATATTATAAATTATTAAAGGATTAATTACAATAATGGAGTTATTATCTTAGAGTTAAAGGCAGTTTTTAAGTAGTTTATGGTCTTATCGAAATACAATTAAATCTGCTAAAACTACAAGTTATTGTATTATTAGGAGAAAATAAAGATAATTCCAATGATTCTAATATTCTTAAAATTAATTGATTATTTTTATATCTTCTTAGATATTTAATTAATTTAAATCAATTTTCAAGTGTCTTTGTCTAAATATTTACTAAAAATATTATTTTAATGCAAATAATAAACAATTCTAAATAAAAAGTTTAAATCAAAATACTCAAATTTTATTTAAGAATCTACAAATCAAAGCATCATTTTTAGAAGTCTTAATGAATAAATTTTTATTCTTATCAACTGTCCATCATTATTATTATTAGACAATAGCTAAATTAAAAGAAATCTTTTTAAGAAGGAATTATTAAGGAAGTAAATTGTTATTTTAAAAAATAAACATTGCTCACTTAGCTCTAAAAATATAAAAAAACTATTACTTATTTTAATTTATGATTATCCAAAAATTACGATATATTTTATTAATAATTTTTAAATTATAAAAATTAAGTTTATATGAATCCAAAAGGTTATAAGTTCTAAGTGCAAATACATATTGAAAAGTTAGAAATGAAGAGCGTCTTATCTTTTTAAATCTAAGTGATATTAAAATGTGGTATATACCTTTAATTTAAATTTAGGGAATTAGAAAGTTTAAACATAATAATTAGCTGATTTTAATTAAGGTAAAGGAATAATCAATGAAACACTTGCCATCTAAACAAATGTATATTAAATTAATGGAACATATTAAGAAAAGAAAATTGAATTGTTAATTTTGCTCATAACACCTAAAGGTAATAAAAAAGCAGGTCAATGTTATATTGATATTGCAGAAAAATTGAATTAATAAAAATATGGTATTTCATAATTCCACTTTAGACATTAATGAAGAACTTATTTTAGAAAATTGTCCTGACAGTAAAGCCAAAATCTATTCAAAAATTCAATTAACATAAGTTGGAGAAGTAGAATTTGACACAGTTAAATCACAATCTTCTACAGTAAATGAATAAATATCAGATAAAAAATAAGGAATCTTTACTCCATTTAAAGCAGTTCTGGAAAGCACAGCTAAGAAGTATTTTGGAGATTAATCTCCTATATAAGAAAATTGTCAATCTAAAAGTTTAATAAAAAATCCTTCTGTAACAGATGTATCATCCTAATTTACTTCTCCAAAATAGTAATAGAAATCTTGTTAAGTATAATCAGATTTATAACATTTATATGAAGAACTTAATTAATAAAAAATATAATATATAGAACTCAAGGATTAAAATAATTAATTAAAATAGGAACTTTAAACTGAAAAAGTCAAAAAAGAAACTCTTATTTTATAAGTCTAAGAATAAAAAAAATAAATAGAAAAAATGATTGATTAAAATATTTATTAAGAATAGATATATTAATATGAACAATAACTAAGTTAAATATAAAGTTAATTGAGGTAAGCATAAAAAGATAATGAAAATCTTACTTAAAACTATAAAAAATCTATGTAAAAGTACAATAAATTATCAGATGAATATAATTAATATTAAAATAAAATCAATTCAGAAGATAAGAGTTCATCTTCATTAAATAAAAAGTTACAAGAATTGGAAGAAGCATGTTATTAAAAAGATTAGCTATATTCTATTTTATAAAAATCTAACAATGACAGTTAAATGAGAAATATCAATTTTGAAAATTAAATTATTCAATTAAATTAGGAAATATTGCAACTTTAAAATAAACTTGATGAAAAAGAGGTTGTAATTGATTAATCAAATGAAAAACTCAATAGTCTAAATTCAATATTATTAAAATTATAGGATTAAAATAGTTTTTTAGAATAGAATTTAAAAATGCAAAAAGAAAAAGTATTGATTTTTATTATGATGATTAGATTGATGAATAATCTTAATAGAATCTTAATCAATAGTAGTAAATAATTCAATTAAAACTAGAAATATAGAAATAATAAGAAAATTTTGTAAATTAAAATAATGAAATAATAGAAAAGTTTAAATAGGAATTGAATGAAAAAAATGATGAATTAAATGAATATTTGACATTATTCGAATAAGAAAAATAAAAGCATAAATTAGAAATAGATGAATACTTAGAATAAATAAAAAAGTTAAAATAAGAAACAAATTAAACTTAATTGGAATAAGATGAAAAATATAGAGATAAATAGTAGAATATCGAAAATGAATTATAAAAGTACCATTTAAGAGAGATGGATCTAAAAGCAAAAGTTTAATTTCTTATGCAATAAACAAATTAATTGTAATAAGTGCTAAACGATAGCATCAGTCAGGCAGAGGTTATGAGAAAGTTGTTTCTTGATCCATAGATTCCAAACACAGAAGCAGATCTACCAAATCAATTGATTGAACTAAATAGAGCAATAACTTTTAAATTTTCTAAGTTAAAATAGGATCTAGAATATCATTAGTAATAGATTTTAGATCACGAAAAAAATCATACTGAGAATACATCAAATTAACAATAAGTAATAATAGTATAATTATATTTAAAGACACTTGAATTAATTTAAACCAAATTAAAACTTGATAATCTTTAAAATTAAAATTTACATTTGGAATAATAATTGATATCCAATTAAGAATTATTAAATAATTTTAATCAATTAGCACTCTCATAAGAACAAAAGATTTAAAATTTAGAAATCTTATATAAAGAAGCTCTAGAAAAATCCATTTCTGAAAAATCTATCAATCAACTTATAAGTGAATAAAATAAAATATTTGATCTGCAAAATTAAGATCTTTAAATTTAAACAAAAGCTTTATAAATATAGATTTTGGAAAAAGATGATTTAATTAATAATCTATCAACCTAAATTTAGTAATAAAATTAACAAAATTAAGAATAAATCATTATTAATGAACAATTGTCATTTTAAGTCAAAGAATAGTTACATAATATATAATAGATAGAGTAAGAAAATTAAATAATGAAAACAGAGTAAGATCACCAAACAAATAATTTAATTATGTAGAATGCTTCTTAAGAAAAAGTAATAGTTTAATTAAGAGAGTAGAATTCTATTTTAAATGAATAGATAATTTATTTGAAAGAATAACTAGAAAATTTTTAAATTGTATTTTTATAATAACAAAATTAGATATAACATTAAGAAGTTCCAAATTAATAATTGACACTTATCTAAAAATAAAATAATTAAATCTAAGAATAAGAAGATTTATGTATGCCAACTTATAAAGAAACTGAAATTCCAGTTTAATTAACTCACACTCAACAATTAGAGGATAATTCAATTAATTTTATATCAAAAGAAGAATTTTAAAATAATTTAGATTAATAAAATATTTTGAAACAATAAATAGAATCGTTAAAAATCTAAATAAATTAATAAACTTCTGATCTCACCAAAATCTAAATCGCTTATGAAGAAATAAAGAATGAAAACATTTAGATTGTTTAAATTCAGAAAAAATATTAATTGAAAGAAACAGAATTATAAATGTAAATAGAACAATTACAAGCTTTAAATTAAAATTTATAAAATCAAGAAAATCAATATGGAATTAAATTGAATTATTTTGAAGAAGAAATATTATAGAAAAATAATAAAATAGAAGAATTAGAAGTTCATTCCTAATAGGTTCAATTGAGATTTTAAGATGAAATATAAGAATTATAATAGTAATTATTTGTTGAGAATGAAGAATGGTAAAAATAAAAAGAATTAATTTAATAATATATTGATGAACTAGAACACAAAGCTTTGGATTTGAATAATTAATTGAGAGAAAAAGATAATGAGTTGGAAAATATGATAAAATTAAATTAAAAGTTAAATGATTAATTAATTTAATTATAAAATATAAATGAAAAAGCATAAAAATTAGAGTAATTATGTTAAGAGAATAAATAAAAATTTGAATAATAAATTGATGAAATAAATTTGAAGAATATATCAAAGAATAATGAATTCATAAAATAGCTATAATAATTATAATAGTAATCTTAGGAGGATTAAATTAGAATATAAGAGATAAAAAAGTAATTGAATGAGAAAGAGATGTAAGTATAGGATAAGGAAGGTAAGCATTCTATAGAAATATAATTGATAACTACGAATTATATGAATCGATTGAAAGATAAGGATGATGTAATTTAAAATTTATAATAAGAAATTCAAAGTTATTAATAAGTTGAATAGGAACAATAAAATGTAATTAAATTTCTGGAAAATGTTAAGGAGAATTTGGAATAACAAAAGAGTGAGAATTTTGAATATATCTAAAAAATTTAATTGACAAATGAGAAAATTATATAATAAACAGAATAATAAGAATCATAAATAAATTAATTAAAAAATGCAATAAAAGAATTAGAATTAAAAAATCATGAATTAGAAACAGAGAAAATTAATATTTCAAATAATTATCAATAAGCATTAATTGAAGCATAATCATTAAATCATACTTAAGATAATTCTAGTGAAATTATTGAAAAGATGTAAGAAGAAGTTGTTTTATTAAAATGTCGTATAGGTGATATGTTTAATGCAGCTTTGGAATTTGGTGGGACAAAATTAGTTGATAAATTATAATAAGCATTAGGTATTAAAGAATGAAGGAAATTATTTGTTTATTAATTAATATATCAAATCATAAAGTAACTAACATCTTAGTGAATTCTTCTTCTGATATTTTTCCGTCTTTATTTAAGTCACAATCACTTAAAAACTATTCCCATATTTCAGTTTCTAAAAATCCCATACTATCTTCTAATTCTTCTTTAGATATATAACCATCTCCATTCTAAATAATAAATTTATTAAATACTGTATCTAACATTCGAAATGATTATTTAATTCTTTCAATCGAAACTAATTTTTCAAATGTCATTGCACCCATAATAAATTCTGAATAATCTATTAAATTTGAATGATTTAAATCAAGTGCATCTAAAATTTGATTTACTTTATCTTCAGCTTATTCTTTACTTTTTAATATTTCTTAATAACCAGCTATTAATTCTAATTTATTCAAATTTCCATCATGATTTTAATCTAAAGCATTAAATGTTGCTTTTAATTCACTAATTTCTTAGTTTTGTAAAGTTTAATTAACCATAAAAGTCATGATAGCTTTTTGAAAATTATTTTTGACCTAAATTTAGCATATAAAAAAATTACATAAAATTTTTGTATGTTATTTAATAATTACAAAGATATAATTTCTTATTTAGCATTTTTTTAAACCCAAGGATGTTAAAGAGCTTATTAAGCAGAGAATCTTTTTTTTGCGTCAATATTTAACATTTTAACAATTAAATCTATAGCATCTCTAGAAACAGTTGACCAATCATCTTTATCAAATATTAATCTGGCATTTCTTACTTTTGCAAATATTTCATTATCAGATTTTCCTGTAAAAGGAGGATATCCACATAAGAAAATATATAAAATAACACCACATGACCAAATATCTACTTTTTCATTATATTTTCCATCTAAAACTTCAGGTGCAATATAATAAGGAGTACCTAATCTTTTATTCATATTATTATTTATTGTAAAATATCTGGAAGTTCCAAAATCTATAACTTTAATTTCTTCTCCTGAACCACTTAATAAGATATTTTCTGGTTTTAAATCTCTAGAAGCTTTAAAATATAAATTAACCTATGAACAATTTATTTTTCATGACAGTAACTAACAGCTTATAATATTTATTTAATATAATCAGCTGCCATTTTCTCACTAAAACATTAGAGTTTTTTAATACGTTCAAATAATTCTCCTCCTGGAAGATATCTTAATAAAATAACTAAAATACTCAGTAGCAATTATATATTAATCATCTTCTTAAAAGCTTTCAAAAACACGAACAATATTAGGATGATCTAAAGATTTTAAGATATTAAGCTCAGATAACATTCTTTATTGATCTTCAAATATTAATGAGTCTTTTTTAATTTATTTCATTGCTCTCAAAATACCTGTTTTTTTATGTTATCCTAACCAAACACTTCCATAACTTCCTTATCCTAATTTTTAAGTATAGTATATTATTCAATCCATTCTCCTTGTTTCATGGTTACAAAATTATTATAACTTATCTTGACTGATTTCCTAGTACTTTGTAATTATATAGTTTATTTCATTTTTGATTAATTAGTATCTTAAGAGAAATCTAAATCAACTTTTGATGCAGCACTGGGAGTTATATATTGTTTAATAGAAGAAATATTATCATCATCATCATCATTTTAAGATGAATCCCAAATATCATTTTATTTTAAGATAGTTGTCATGATTTATGAATTATTATTCTAGAATTAATGTTAATATATCTCTTAGTTATGGCAACATGCATTTCCCATATAAGAATAAATTTTTATATTAATATGATCATCATTTAATTTGATTCTATACTATAGATATATAGTAAAACACTAAAGCAAGTGAATTTAAATTTCATTATCTGATTTTTGTACCATTAAAAAACAGATCAAAAGATAATAAATTTATTTTTATATTTCAAAATCTCATGCTGCCGTTTGAATGCTAATTATATTAATTTTTGAGCCTCAGTTAAAAAAAACAAAAGGATCAAAATTGATCAAAATAAAAAACTCAAATAAGATGGATGATACAATTAACATCAATTTTATTCATTAATTTTATTATTCCAAAACTTCAATAACTTCTACTAAACTCTCTCTATTTTAAATTTCTTGTATCTATAAACTATGAGTTACTGGTTTTCTACATAAGTAACAAAGTTCACTTTTACTTAACAATTACTCACAGCACTCTTTACAAAAACCTCCATGACCACATGGCATATTTATCATATTACTTTCTTTTTCATAACATACTAAACAAAGTTTCTAAGAATTTTAATTTTATTGTTCTTATTTATTTTACTTTATTGAAGATTAATCATCAAATTTCTTTTTATCAAGATTACGACTTGTTAAATCTTATCCTATACTTTAACTTATTTCCAATCTTTATCTAGGACTAGATAACAATAAATCAAATCTTTTAGATTGATCATTATCATTATCATTTTCTTAATAATTATTCTTTTAATTTTATTTATTTTATTATATCATAGATGATAAATGTGATTAATCAGCATGTTATGCACATTTATAATATGTTTATGATAGTTTTACCATAAATTAAGGAACTTTTGATATACTTATCTTATGTGTTTTTTTCATTTTAAGTTATATTCTATTTTCTACTTGTTATTAATTTTGTTATATTTATTGTAATTATTAATCTATATAAAAATTACTTTAAGCAATATCATAGTATAAAAAATAATCGCTATATTAATAATATCTAAGATATACATTAATTGTTATTTAAACTTATGATAATATGCTAATTATAGTAGATAATACAGAATAGTTAATCCAAATGCATATTAATTTAACTACAGAATTTCAAAATCATAATTTAAGGCACATCCAAAGAAAGTTGCAAATGGTAATAGTGTGACTCCAAATGCAACCATATTTAACCAAATTCCTCCTTAAACTACTATGTATTTTATTTTTACTAATGATTTATTTTTTATCTTCTTCTATTCCATCTGATTTATTTCTGCATTTTTGTAGTACATCAATAAACAAACATACAGCAATTACAAATGCCAATCCTAACAGAAACCATATAATAATTAAAGTTTAGATCCATCCCCAAGTTATTTATTGAGTTAATCTTAAACTTATAAAAACAAGTTGGAGGGCACTTATACTTTTAAATGCTGCAATTAACTATATAAATTCTTAATAATAATTACAATCTCTTAAATCTAAAATGATTAATCTGGGCCATCATTTTCAGTTGTACTTCTATTAGCAAGAACTGTGACAGCTAGAATCAAAAATTGTAAAACTAGTTGAGCATAAGAAATGAAATTAATATTCACTTTCTCTATCTCTATATAATACACCAAAGAGAGTAAATATGATATAAGAAGTAAACTTTCGAAAATATTAAAACAACAGTGTTGGGAAATACTTAAAAATAAACAATTTTATACCTTCGACTTTTAAGTAATCTTTAGACCATTATTGTGAAAGAGGATACACAGCAGTATATTATAGTTATTTTATAATCCCATTTAAATATTAAATGAGCATTCTATAAAAAGCAAAATCCACTTAGTATTGTTATCAAAACCATTATCTAAATTTTTCATTTCAAATTACTGATTTCAAATTATCTTGGGACTTTGTTCTAATTTGCTACAATTCATAAGAACTAATTAAATGATTTTATACTTCACAATTCCATTCATAAGACCAAATAATAATATAATATATTATATTAAAAAATAAAATGATGTACTCAAACTTGTAATTTTTGATCATAATTACTTAATGCAATCATAAATGCAATCAAAGGACTAAATGGTGCTGAAATATCTAAATTAAAATAGTGTTTATCCCATTTTCCAAATTATAGATATATTTTTTCAGGCATTTCATCTTTCAAAATTATTTAAAAATTTTTAATAGAAGACATTTTAACTCTCTCATAAAAATTAAGAATAAAAGTCTAAAATTTTGGATCCCATTTTGGTTTTCTATTAACAAATTCATTATTTGAATCAATATCAAATTTAAACTATAAATTATTATAAATTTAATACGCATTGTTATCTAGGTTCATTTGATTTTGGAATTGCACAAATCTTTAATTCTCCTAAACATTTTCTAAATGGTTCCTTTTTTCTCTTAGGATTCAATCCTGTATCATAAAAATAATATTTATTATTTTTTTTACAACTGACTTATCCAATAAACTAAGGAGATTTTCTTTCAATAATTTCCTTATCTGTACTAATCAAATATTTATCTCCAACCTTTTTCGCTGCCATAAAACATTAATTATCTTTCAGAAAATAAAATTTTGGTCTAAAAGTATTAAATCCTGATTTGTTAATCTAAAAAGCACACTAAACAATTCCTTATTGTTATATTGGTGAAATAAGAAATGTAGATTATTATTAAAACTCAAAGTTCGACAAGATACTTGGATAAGCACTTATTATTAAAGAATTAGTCATAGATTTATCTGGACTATAAGAATCTCTTTATTAATCAACCTTAGACATTTAATATTCTTTTTAAAGTTCGCTCTTTTATTTTTATTCTAATTTTTTTGGAATATCTCCTTAATATGAAATATCATCTTCATGATCTTCTGCTATCAAATTACCTGTCCTTGGATTCTATCTTTCTACTTTAAACTTCATTTATAGACAACCAGTACCATCTTAATTTCTAAAGGATTTTGATTTTGTAAATCAATTGAATTCATTTTTATCAATTAGGATGGACTTATTGTTGGTGAATCATTAGGTTACTTTATTATTGAACCTCTCTATATATTATTATTAAAATTATATTACTTTTTCATTTAATCTTTTAGGTGAGGATTGTTGCATTATACTTCAAATATAATATATAAAATAAATAAATTAATCTATTTTCATACTCTTCTTTTTATTAATCAAATCAAATTTCATATTTAACTCTATATAATTTTGAAGACTTTCCAAAATTATTTTTATAAGAATATCTATCTTTTACTTTGAAGTATTGAATACTCTAGATATTTTATATACATTTTAAATTAATTAGTAAAATTAAAAAGAAAAAAACAGATATTCACATTAATACATTTAATTATAAAAATAGTAGGCAAGCATACATCACATTATTGTCTAATATAAAATCATTAAATTACATCAATTTTATCATGAATATATGGAATGAACAAAATGGAAATATACTTTTTATTTATTCTTTTCATTTCAATTATAAGGACCAAAAACCTATATTTAAAAATTAAATTTGAAATACCAAAAAAGATAATTAATGTATTTAAGTTTCTAAAAAAGAACTCAATTAAGTGAAATTTATAGATAAGCCATGTATAGAATAATAACTGAAAGTTACTAATTTATGATAGCAAAGCTAAAAAACATATCTAGAGTGCACTTTATACGAATTATTTATTAGGTTGTATTTTTGTGAAATAAATGCAAGACTACAACAATCATTTTTGTTGAATTGCAAAAAAGTTAAAAAAGTTATGTTAGAAAAATAGAAGTAAAAGAATACAAAAATTTAAATCTAAAATTATAACAAGGATTTCTTTCAGGAACTCCTCATTAATTTTATCAAATTTATCAGGATAGACTTAGAATTTAATTATTCTCTCCACTATATATTGTGATTTGTTTATGGCTACAGTATTCCCTTTTAAAAAATATTAGAATTATAAATCTATTCCTAATTTCTTAAATAGTCATATTATATTATTGACTAATATCATACTTAAAATAAATTTATAAGATAGATTATATTTATTTTTCTCTATTAAATTATATCATATTCCTTATTTTAACAACTTTGGTTTTGTCTTTAAAGGAATTATATATTATAAATTTAGTATATTATATCAGCAAAAAATTCAAAATTAATAATTATAATTAATTCAGAATAATTTTAAGCTTTCGCTTGTTTAAGAAATTGTAATTTCAACTGATTTTTTATTATTAAGATAATTAATATCATTTATTATAATTTATTCTTATTGAATATTAGATTCAGAATGTGAAATAATGATAAATAAATTTTGAATAATTTTTAGAATTTGTCTTTAAGTTTGAAATCAATAGAAAAATAGTATGATGTTAAATCAAATTAATTTAATAAATAGAACTTAATATATATGAAAAATCTAATATAATTAATGCAATTAAATCAATAAAGAGTTATGATTGTTAATGAAAGAATCTAAAACAATTGAGAATATAATTCTGCTGGATCAACGCATGCTTAACATTCTTGAATTCCAGTACTATTATCGAAATGATAGATAAAATTTGAATCTAAACTGCATCTAGAGATATTAATAAAGGGTGTAGTATTATTGGATTCTTAACAAAATGCTCTTGTCTCATTCCAATTACAAAATGTGAATTTTCTCTCTCCATTTATAGTCCATTGACAATTTGGTTGATCAAAATAGAGACAATCCTTTGGGTTACATTTTGATTTAGTATTTTTAGTATCCCAATAACAACCTAATCCATTGCATGCTTTTTCTGTAAGAATTTCAATACATTTTGTTTCAAATGTTACGGAAGTACATGCATGATCATGTTTTTCACAAAATTCATAAGTACTTAACTATTGATTACAATTGTTTGTTGAAAAATCTGAACAATGCTTTCTATCTAAAATATATTTTTTTTCACAAGCACCAGTGTCATCAGCCTCACATACTGAAGAATTTTCACAAGTATCATCACACTTGTATGAATCAATATCATAACATTTTTAATCAACCCATTTACAATTAGGATTCCAATCATCAGTTGTTGTGGTTTAATTGCATTCTGATTCACTAATTCTGTTTTCACAATTTATTTAAATACAAATTTCATTTTTCCAAAAGCATCCACCTAATATACATTCTTCTTCCCAAAATATCTATTAGCAAGTGCATCTAACCACTAATTACCAAGTAACAATTATAATTAAACCTAACAAAATTACAACTTTCACTGTCATTCAAAATTTATGATTTTCTTATGTTTTTTTTTTTTTATAATATAATTTTTTTTAAGAAACTCTTTCTTAATATTATAGATTAAATGAATAAAATAAAATTGTTCTGTATCCTTTTAATTTATTTAGCCCTAGAATACTGTAATTGACAAGCTAAATGGATGGAGTTTTCATATAAAAATATAAAATTCAAAAAATTATTTATTAAATTCTTATGATAATGTTTATATAGATTTTTTTATTAGTTTCTTTCATTAGTAAGGTGATTATTTTAATTAATTTAATGATATAATTTTATCACTATGTTTTAAGCCATTTCTTAAATAAGCATCATAAAGTGAAAATAGAATCAGAAACTGTCGTTTCTCTCTTATTTATTGTTTACTACTCTTAACTTATATGCTTACTATAATAAAATTAGGAAAATGCTTCGGATTATCAAACATAAATAAACTTGCTAAATTTATTTTAGTATTATGGCTAAATATGGAGACCTTATAATTATTTATTCAAATACAAAGGATTCAGATAATATGCTTTTATTATACCATCACTTCTGATAACTTTGATTATTGTTGATTTTTTCTTATAATGGATGGAAGAAGTTAGGATTAAGAAAACATAACAATCAAAGTTAAAGTTTAAAGGAATTCATAATAATAATGAAAAAATACTATCAATTATTTTTCAGGTACATTTATACACTATATCACTTTATGAGTTAGATCTTTTCATGTTATCTATTCGAGAAGCAACATTAAATTTACCAGATTCAATTTAAATGCTCACTTTTTCAATTTTTTTCCTATTTTGTAAATTACTGTTTATACTACTAACTTTGATGTGTTCAGAATCAATTCATTTTCCAAGTTCTCCTATTCATTTTAATATTTTGTCAATTGGATAATATCTTAATATGATTTTAGTGGTTATAGATTTATATTTAAATCATGAAAAAGGAGATTTGCCAAAAACACTTTCTCTTATTATGAATTTATTTATATTTGGATTTTATATTTATTAAGAATGTCAGAAAAAAGTCACTTACTTAAATACTTTAGTATTATTATTACTCACATATTGTTTTTTTAATAATTTATCATACTTTTTTGTTATTTAAACTACTTATAAAGAATATAGAATCGCCTTATTATTTGTGTTGTGTCCATTGTTTCTAAATCTAATAGTTCATTACTCAAAACATTCAACCAAAATAATTTATGAAAAAAATAGAACAATAGAAGAAATATTTAATAACCTTCTTTTACTGAATGAAAATTAATACAAAAATTTGAAATCAGAAAAATTTGAAACTTTAATGTATAAATAATTATCTACCTATAATAATGATCCTTTTCACTCTGAATTAATTCTTTTCAACAATAAAATCATTAAATCCAGAAAAAATAAAAAAGCCTTTTGGTATTACAAATATATTCTAATAAAATTATCATAAATGTAATACACAGAAACTTTAATTTTGATTCATAATTTCAGAGAGTCATTTTTTTATTCTGAGGTAAACAAATAATTTGTTAGAGTTTAGATAGTAATATCATTTATTTAACAACTTAAATTGATAAATTTAAAAAGTGAAGTTTATTAACTATTAAATTACAATATAACTAAAAATTTTGATTTAGATAAACTCAATTCAAATTCTTTTATTAATTACAAAGTTCAAATATAAAAAAGCTAAAATTAAATTATGAAAATCTTCTAAGAAAAAGAAGCTCTTTATATACAGCTTTTAGAAGGCAAATCTTCAAAAATTAATAGTATTTTTAATAAAAGTTACAAAATCCTTGAAGATTCCTTATAAATATAATAAGATTTAAGATTAGAATTAATAAACTCAAAAACTTATCGAATTCATTAATTATTGACAATGCTTTATGTTGAATTTTTCAATAACATAATATAGGCTGAATTACTTAAATATTTTTAGCTTAATAATGAAGAATTGAAATAAAATCCTTTAGAGAATATGGATTTTCTTAATCTAAAACTTGAAGATAATCTAATAAATACATAAATAAAATATTTTAGTTAAAGTCTTTTAATAAGATTAGGATATAAAGTTAAAGATGAATAAAATTTTTAATTTAAAATGCTCTTTCCAGATGCTTTTTATGAAATTCATCAAAACTTAATAAAACTTTTTTTAGAAAATGGAGTTTGCAAATATTTAAACAAGATATCAGATATGTTAATTAGAGGACAAGATAATATTTATTTTTATTCTCAATTTTAGTTAAATATTGAAAATTCTTTAGTATCAGAATTATCCTTTTATGTTTTCTTGAAAATAAACGAAGATTAACCTAATTCAATATTTATAAACAAGTAGCATTAAATAATAGGTTATACAACCACATTTTTGAAGTATATAAACAAAAAAAACAGTAATTTAACATCCAAAGCTTTATTTTTATTAGAATTAACTAAATTAATTGATTTTAATAAGCAGCATCTTAAATAAAAGTTCATGAAGGGAAGTTTTATAATAGATTAATCATAAATAATTTTAGAAATTGTTGAAAGAAAGAGTATATTAGAATTACAGATATTAGAGGAAGATTTAGATTTTTTATTAAATTAGGAAATATTTAGCCAAGAATAAAGTTATCCATGCAGTTTAGCACTTAATTAAGAATCCGTAGTCTTAATTCCAAATCAGTTATTTTTGGAAGATTTAAATAGTCCTTTGTCTTAAGCTAAAAGAGAAAAACCTTATTAAGAGTTATTGTAAAGTGAGATTAAATAATATTAAACAATGAAAAGTAGAGAAGTTAGTAATGTAAATAGTGAACTTATTTAAGAGAAGCAGAAAAATTCAAAATAGAGTATTAAAGATTAAAAAGACGAAATTGATAACGATTAAGCATCATCAAAATTTTCTAGAGGTTTTTTAGATAATTCTATATTTTATTAGAAATATAACAAGCTTAATTCATTTTTGTCTGAAAGTAAACGTAATAGGTAAATAACTATTATTTTAATATTATTTCTATTGGCTTTATTTATTAATATTATATTTTAGTTGATAAATTTGATACAATTTTTACCATAATATAAGAAAGTTAATGCTGATGTAGATATGTTAACTTTGAAGGGGAATTTTATGGCTCCAATTCATAATTGTGTTACAGCTCAAGTTTGTGTAGTAAATTATATGCTGCTAGCCTTTTTATTTAAAGAGATTAGTTAAGAATAAGCTTATTCAAAAATGTAATTTGGTTTAGATTCAATATTAAAATCTTATGACCATTTGAAAGAATCATTTACAACTTAATTAGACAATTAAAATCTTTAAGAATTTTTTTATGATTAAGAAATATAAATGTATTAGTAAGAAAATTTAAGTCTTGTTCCAAGAAATATATCATTAAAATCTGCTTTGATTTATTATTAGGAAGCCTAATATTTTACAACCATAATTGATTATTATAATGTATTATCAGTAATTTCTTCTAGTGAATTCGTTTATTATATGGCTAATATAATAGCAGTTGATGATTATTTTGACTATTTAAATGATGAAGTTTAAATATTTGTTGATACCAGAATTTAAATATTCGAAAGTGATTAAACAAAGTTTTTTTTAAAAATGGTATTTTTGGAGGTGCTAATAGTTAGTTTGGGAGTTTCCTTCATTTTACAAAACTAGTACACACTCTCTGATTTATTTAGTTTATTCACAAATATAAATATATTTGCTCTTTAGAAGGAGATTTTTAAATTATAAAAGTGGATTTAATTACTAAATCATGATGACGCATACTAAATTTACAATTTTGAGGTGAGTGTTTGGGAAAAAGATGTTTCTATTTAATCATTTCCATATAATTTGAAAATAAATTTGAATAGAATAATAAAACAGGAATATAAACCACCTAGATTAGGATTAATTTTGGTATTTTCTATAATTCTTATAATCTACTTGCTTCCATAATTAATATTACAGTCATTGAACAGCAGTTTTTTCGAGAAATATTCATAAAGCGCAGCTCTTTTGGTAAAATTGTCTAAGTTAGGATCTGCAGTGACAGCAGTTTATGAGATTCGAGAAATAAATTATATGATTTCAGGGTAATCTCCTTTTTTTGATTTCTTTACTGATTAAAAGCGTATAGAATAGAATGTAAAAGTAGTAGATGAGCTTGCAAAGATAAACGATTTTCTCACTTTTTATTTGTTTTTTGATTTGTAAATATATAACATAATGATTAGTGATTCATCATTAACAGATGATGACTTTATTTAAAAATTTGAAAATGTGTAGTCATAGAATTTATGCAATTTTATCATTCATGTAAATAATAATTAATGAATAATGTTTAGTACAATAAAAGTCTAGCTGAAGAACATTGTAATTTGATATATGATGGAGTGATGAAGTTAGGATTAATAAATACTTTGACTGAAATATACAGATAGATTAATACAGAATTTGAGAATACATAAGGATTTCAAATAAAAAACAGGAATAAATCTGGTGCTTTTGAGGAAGCTGAAATAGGATTAATAGCATCAGATGCAGTTTTATATTTATAATCTGAAGTATTTAATGCGATAGTGTTAAAGACTTCTGAATTAATTCAGGCTCATTAAGTATAAAAGATAAGATAAATTAGATTTTGATTGGGATATACATAATAATGAGTGTAATTCTTCTGTTGATTTTAGTGTATTATTATTACCCTTATCTAATGAGAAGAACAATGATAGTGAAGAATATGATATTTTTAATTCCTTAGTTGTAGTTTTATTTGGATCAAAAATTTGAGACAGATTTTAGGGTATTATAAATGCAGAATGTATGAGATGATAAAAATAGTGAAATTAATATATAAATGTTGAGAATCGTTTTATTTATTTAATTCTTGAATTTTATTGATGAAGGTTTAAGATAGAGTGGAGATATTTAAATGATATTTGTAAATGGTAAAAAAGATTAGATATTGGTGAAGTAAAAGAGATTTGCATAATTAAGGTAATGATGAATAAATTAATAAATAAGATCAATGCCAGAGTTATCAGAAGATGATGAAGGAGGAGATGATGGTGGAGGAGATGATGGTGGTGATGATGAAATATAAGCAGGAGGAGGTGGAGGTCCAAGTTTAGGAGGTTTATCAGGAGGAAATCCTAGAGATGCAGAAACAGAAGAAAATTTAAGATTAGATGCATGGTCAATTATAAGAAATTTAGATGAATTTATGATTGTACAGAATTAAAGATTAATGGATGCATTGTATGGAGATGCAATTGAATAAAATGAAGAAATGGAAGAATTAATCTATGATTTGACAGACAACATCGATCATTGGACTTATAGAATTTATAGCAAATTCTAGAAAACAAATCTAGCTTTAGAAGATAGTCGATACACATCAGCAAAGACTGCTATAATTGTATTTGAATTATAATGTATTTATAGGCTATAGACAGTTAAATTAGAAAAGCTAATTAATAGTTAAAAATATATTATGGGTAATTATATAGATTGTAGGATCAAATACCAGATGAAGAAGAATAATGTGCTTAATTCTATACATGCAAAGAATGCTTGACTAATGAAGGTTGTGGATGGTGTCCATTGAATGATAAGTGTGTAGTTGGTGATGAAAATGGACCATTATTTTAATAATGCCAATACTACAATTATTAGTTCTGTTAAGGAAAATAATGTTTAAAGTATTCTACTTGTAATGTATTAATCAATTTATTAATTAGACTTGCTTATCAGATTCAGAATGTGGATGGTGTTAAGTTGATGAAGATAATATCAAGGTCTGTTTGTAATAACCTAGGAATTTCTAAGGATGTCCAGAAGGTCATTGGTATCATATCGCAGGAGAATCATTTGCATGTCCATTTAAAAGTTAAAAACAAAAAATGGAAGAAGATGTTCCATCTCATAAATTTTGGATGAGGCCAAAAGCAAAACCTCCTTAATGCAAACCTGTTGATTCTGCTATGAAAGCAAAGATTCAAAAAGAAAGACAATAATATAATGATAAATCTGAATATAAGCCGGATTAAAATAGAAATAAAGAAGTGGTATAACTTGTACTTATGTACAATAGTAATTGAATTTTAAAAACACTCTTCAACAAAAAGTAGTTTAATTAAAGAATTTAGTAGAAGAACTAATAGAAAGAAGAGATGATATATAAGCTTGGCTTGATGAATACATGAAGACCAGAGGTATAGAACCATCTGAGCCAGTCGAAAACCAAGATTAAGATGCTGGAGAAGAATCACCTTAAGAAAATTAAGAATAATAATAAGATTCATCAAGTTCTTAAGGATAAGCAGGTAATAATAAAGTTCAAGTTAAGAAAGAGAAAAAATCAAAAAAAAGTATTTTAATTTTAATTTTTTTAAGAAGTTGTTTAGATAATAGCTGAAGAAACTGCTAGTCCTGAGGAAGAATTAATGCCTGAGGGAATGTAAGAAGAACAATAAGAAGAAGTACTTGAATAGGGAGAAGAAGATGTAGAATATGTTTTTGAAACATCTAAAGAATATAAAGTTGATATTCGTGAAATTCATGTTGAAAGATAGAAAACAAAAAAAGTTGACAAAGAAGAAATTGAGGATAAAAAATATAAAGATTAAGGAGATAGAGATATAGAGGGAGATTTAGATACGGATTATTACTAAGATTATTATAAATAAAGAAAAAAGCATTTTAGAGATTTTGAAAAGTATTATCCAAAATGAAAATTGATCGTTTTTCTAATAGTTAATTATGTTAATAATTTTAATCGAAAGTGCAATTTTATTTTTGGGATTGGCAGTTGATCATCATAATCAAGAGTAATTACTCTTGTAAACGGGCACGTAAGTTTTGAATTACATTCAGGATGGGTTTGGGGGATGAATTATAAAAAGAAGTGGATAGAATAAAAGTTTCATTAAAATTATAAAATAAAGCATTAGCTAAAGAACTAAGAGGAGCTACTGAAGAGAGAGCTGAGAATATTTCTGAATTAAAATCAGATATTAAGACAATTTTAGATAAAATGGCGTATGTGACAGATACAAAAATGACTAGAATAAATGATAGGGTTTAAGAACATATATATTAGACAGAAGCAATTTCATTAATAATTATAATGGATTAATTGGATAAAAAAGTTTAAGAATTGGCAGGTGTGAAATAATAGATAAAATAATTAAAAGCTAAGATTCCACGATTATCTGATAAGTGTAGTAAATATTATACATGTTATGATTGTTTATAAGATGAAAGTTGTGGATGGTGTTCAATGGAAGATAAATGTGTAGAAGGAGATGAGAAAGGACCTTAAAAGGTGAGTTGTAATTTTTATAGTTATAAATAATGTAATGGAAGATAATGTCATAAATATAATACATGTGCAGTAAAAATTAAATATATTATATAAGACTTGTATAGCTGATCCTTCTTGTGGTTGGTGTATTGATGATAATCGATTTATGTCAGGTTGTTTATAATAACCATATGATTATTAAGGATGTCCTAGAAATGGTTGGTTTCATTTAGAGAGTAGATAAAATTCATGTCCTAAATAATTGAGGAAAGTTTATGAAGAAGAATTTGATGAAAATTCTTATTGGTCTAAACCACTTGATGATTCTGCTTATGTTGATGAACAAGAAAGTTATGAATAAGATAAGAATAATGCTTTAAATGGAAGAGGTGGAGAATAAGAAACTGAATCTAATACAGAATATAATAAGAAATAATAATAAGTTGCTAATTAAATTAAATAATTAGAAGCTTTGTGTAAAGAAATATAAAAAGAAATTGATTCTTTATAAAAAAGATATTAAGAAACAGTTGATTGGTTAGATAAATTTAATAAAGGAGAAGAAGGAGAAGGAGAATAATAAGAATAATAAACAGAAGAACCTTAATAGGAATAGTAAGATGAAAATTAATAACCATAAGAGGATAAATAGAAAAAAAAAGAAGAGAAGAAATAGAAAAAAGAAGAAAAAAAATAAAATGATTAAGATAATAAGAAGAAAAAAGAAGAAGAAAAAAAGAAAAAGGCAGAAGAGGAAAAAAAGAAAAAAGAAGAAGAAAAAAAAAAATAAGAAGAATAAAAGAAGAAGAAAAAATAAGAGGAAGAAGAGAAGAAAAAGAAATAAAAAGAAGAAGAGGAAGAAAAAAGAAAAAAATTAAAAGAAGATTTAGAAAATAAAAATTAAGATAAAGAATAAAATGAAGAAACATAAGAATAAAATGAATAAGAAACATAATAAGAAGATGAAGATCCAGATGCAGATAAAAGTGCAGATAAAAATTAAAATGAAGATGAAAAATCTAATTAAGAAGAATCTTAAGATGCAAAAGATTAAGATAATTAATCATAAACGAAAAACAAAAAATCATAAAAAAAAAATGATTCTAATAATAAGACAAAAGGAAAAGAAGATTCAAAAAAATAGAAATAGGAAGAAGATGATAAAGGAGGAGATGATGAAAAAGAAGAAAAAAGAGAAATTCCAGATTCTTATTTTAAAGAACCACAATTATAAAATAAAAAATGGGAAGATTTTTACAGTGGCAATTTCAATTTCATAACTTAAAATTAAGAAATTGATGATGATGAAATGTAATTTGACACAATTGATGTTGTTGATGACTTTTATGATCCTTTTCATTTAAATTGATAAATTTATATTATAATTTAATAAGATATAATTATTAAATATTAATTTTCAATATCTTTTCACTCAAAAAACTTTTGTTCTGAATTCTCATATAAATTATGCTAAAAATTTGTTTAAAATTTAAAATATAACAAAATAATGCCTCTTATTTTTTAAAAATCAAAACTTTAATTTAATTAATAATATTAAATTTCTATGTTTTAGTAATAGAAAAGATAAGCATGATAGAAATATTCTGTGTATTCTTGTGAATTATCATTATCTTTGGTTTATCTATATATTATAAGCAATTGAAAAAAGAACTAAAAGATTATTGGGATAAAGTAATTAAAGAATTAATAAGATAACTATTGAATTCAAACATATNGAACCTTAATAGGAATAGTAAGATGAAAATTAATAACCATAAGAGGATAAATAGAAAAAAAAAGAAGAGAAGAAATAGAAAAAAGAAGAAAAAAAATAAAATGATTAAGATAATAAGAAGAAAAAAGAAGAAGAAAAAAAGAAAAAGGCAGAAGAGGAAAAAAAGAAAAAAGAAGAAGAAAAAAAAAAATAAGAAGAATAAAAGAAGAAGAAAAAATAAGAGGAAGAAGAGAAGAAAAAGAAATAAAAAGAAGAAGAGGAAGAAAAAAGAAAAAAATTAAAAGAAGATTTAGAAAATAAAAATTAAGATAAAGAATAAAATGAAGAAACATAAGAATAAAATGAATAAGAAACATAATAAGAAGATGAAGATCCAGATGCAGATAAAAGTGCAGATAAAAATTAAAATGAAGATGAAAAATCTAATTAAGAAGAATCTTAAGATGCAAAAGATTAAGATAATTAATCATAAACGAAAAACAAAAAATCATAAAAAAAAAATGATTCTAATAATAAGACAAAAGGAAAAGAAGATTCAAAAAAATAGAAATAGGAAGAAGATGATAAAGGAGGAGATGATGAAAAAGAAGAAAAAAGAGAAATTCCAGATTCTTATTTTAAAGAACCACAATTATAAAATAAAAAATGGGAAGATTTTTACAGTGGCAATTTCAATTTCATAACTTAAAATTAAGAAATTGATGATGATGAAATGTAATTTGACACAATTGATGTTGTTGATGACTTTTATGATCCTTTTCATTTAAATTGATAAATTTATATTATAATTTAATAAGATATAATTATTAAATATTAATTTTCAATATCTTTTCACTCAAAAAACTTTTGTTCTGAATTCTCATATAAATTATGCTAAAAATTTGTTTAAAATTTAAAATATAACAAAATAATGCCTCTTATTTTTTAAAAATCAAAACTTTAATTTAATTAATAATATTAAATTTCTATGTTTTAGTAATAGAAAAGATAAGCATGATAGAAATATTCTGTGTATTCTTGTGAATTATCATTATCTTTGGTTTATCTATATATTATAAGCAATTGAAAAAAGAACTAAAAGATTATTGGGATAAAGTAATTAAAGAATTAATAAGATAACTATTGAATTCAAACATATAATGTTTAATTTAATTTAAATATTAATATTTTATGGTTAAATTAATTTGGAAGGAAATAATTGAAATTTTGACTAACTACCAGATTGTTTAGAAATAATTTATAGTAAGATTTTGTTAAATAATTAAATAACAAAAAACAATTTCATCTGTGTTATCATATAATAACTAATTTGAATTGAAAATCAACTCATTTGATATGCATATTGATTCTTTTTTCAAATTTTTTCTTTGAATCATCCATTTTTGTCTATTATCTTGGAAATGTAAAAAAATATTTTTGATTTATTTTATTGTTTCTATTTCCAACTTTTTGTATCCAAATTAAATTCAATACTTCTTGACTTCTTACATCTCTAAATAACTTAAGGACTGTGATCAAAGATAAGTATTACAGCATTGTTGAAATATACAAATAACAAAGAGTTCCTACATTTTTTTAATGATTTTTTTACCTTCAGGTGTTTTTAATAAATCTGTTAATAAAATAACAATTAATAATGCCCCAAAACAAATTTCTAAGAATACTCCTGCATAAATAAGTAATTATATCTTTCTTATGACTTTTTTATCAGCATTTAGATTAGCTGATTTAAATTATTTTTCTTGAATTTATATTTCTGATTCATAATCTTCTCCTGAATATACTTATGCTTTTCTAACATCATTTTATTAATTATGAAATAATATTTCCTTATTATTATTCTTTAAATTAGCTTTTTTATATTTTTTTGTTTCATTAACTTACTATTTTGTTTTCTCAACTACTTTTATTTACATTTTCTTAACTTATAAAATGTTTTATCTATTTAAATCTATGTTCCACTTAATATTTTCTTAAGGATTATCATCTTCATTCAGTAAACAAGAATTTACCTTCTAATGATATACAGCTTCTTCTTTAGAACTCAATGATTCATCACTTACTATTGTTTTTAAGTTATATTAATCTAATTCTTTTTTTATTTCAAAATCTTGCAAACTTTGAGGTTCTTTTACATTTTTCTATTAAACTTAGATTTCTTAATTTATGTTTTTAAAGGAGACAGACTTTTTAAAATAGGAAAGATTCAATTTTTCAATAGATACAATTGCTCTAGTTGTTTATATCTACTCATTATTTTCTTCACTTCCACTTTAAGAACTAAGCCTCAAAACTTATTAATCGTATATATTTGGTGATTATGGTTTTTCCTCTTATTATATTTCATGAGATGTTTTTGAAAATACTATCTTTAAAATTTTTAACTTTTTTACTTATTATTACTAATTTACTTGCACAATTTTGTCTTAATCTTCTTTATCATTTACTTTACTATCCTTATCCAATCTCCTTAATTGTGACTTTATGCATTCATTCAATGATTTACCATAAAGAAAAAATTCCAATATAAAAGAACTGAAGATATATTAAACTTTTAATTACATAAAATTGAAAAGCAAAATTACAAATGCTATATATAAAATTGTCTTATATTTTTAACTTAATCTTAATCCTAATTAAATTCTCATATTACCATTTAATATACTGATTGCTAATTGTAACAAAAATACAAAGAAAAGTCTTATTTTCATTATATCTTTGTAATATACGAATATCCATTTTCTTGTTTCAAATTTTAATTCATCGCTAAATACTGATTGAGATTTTGAGTTGTTATTTCTTTCTGAAATATTGAATGAAATTTCATCATACATAGTATACCAGACCATGAGTAAAATGCCGTAGATATAAAACAAGATAGTGTAAACTATTTCTGCTAAGATTCTTTCATAAACTATTTTATCACCATCCTACATTTATGATAAAAAAGTTACAAATGGTTTTAATGGATCTAAGGATAGCCATAATATTTTTAAAACATTGAACAATATGGTTAAACATAATATGCAATTCAAAGGAGAACTTAAAATTTTTTTTAGATAACTTAATCCTCTAAAAATAATAATTAAGGAAAATTTACCTTTGAAATGATGGAATTTAATTAGTATTAAGAGAGAATTAAAGTTGTTTCACTGTAAAAAAAAGTAGCAACATAAAGAGGATTAAAAATAATCCAATAAATGTGAAATATGAAATGACATGAATTTCTTATAATTTTAATGTACATTGCACTCCAAAATATCCTAAATCACAATGACAAATTTAATCAAAATACAATCCTCTTCCATTACAATTTGAATTATCTAATTCTTTTTAAACGGTACTCATATTAATGTTATAATAATCATTTATAATATCTAAAAATTGAATTAGAAATCATCACTTACAATTTAAAGAATAAATTAAAGAGATATTAAAAAAAGTATCATATTTAAAGCATCTTGAAAATAAACTCTATTTGATATAATAATGTTTGAAATTAATTCTAAAATTAATTACATGAATCTTCATAAGAAAAGTATCAAGTAAATAGATTCTTAATATTATTAAAAATCATAAACATGAATTCTTGATTTAAACATAAAGTGTTATGAAAAAATAAAATAAAAATGAATCATTTTTATTAGTAATTAAAGGATGATGATAAATTAATAATAATTTATTATAAAATATAGTTATCTAAAATAAATAGCATATAAAAAGATAAAAGTAAGATGAAATAGATGGTATCTAAAAATACTTAAAAATAAATAAGGTTGATAAAATTTTATAACATAACATTATATTAATTAATGGGTTGTGCATAACCAAAAGGTCAGAATAAACCTCCAGATTCTAAAACTCCTAGAACAGAAAGTTCTCGTTAGCCAGTATAACAAGCAGTTAATTTGGCTTCTGTGTTTGATGAGACTGATAATTTGGAGACAGATTATATTCTTCATAAATTAGACTCATTAGCTAGTATTGATTATAAATATATGATTATAGCTCAAAGAAACTATATAATGAAAGGTGTGTGTAAATAAAATAGTATTTCAAGGATTGTAAGGACCTATAATTATCAAAATATCCCTATGGAATTTCTTTAAGAATTAGAGGAAAATATAAATACTTTATTGAAGTTGGTATTGGCTGTGTTTAAAACTTTAGAAACATCTGAATGTTTAAGCCACAATCTCTTACTATAGTAATTAGAAAAAAATAAGTTTGATAGGTGAGTTTTTAGATGGTGGAAATATGCTTGTAAAATTGGATGCATTTAGTTAACTGTAATAATATGCAATGATTGAAATATTTTGTTAAATTATGGCTGGTTTATAATATCTACATTAGAATTAAATTGTTCATGGGTAAATAATATATGAATTTTAGGGATATACGTTTAGAACATATAGTTTTTACTAATAAATCTTTAGATAAGATTAAATTAGTGGATTTTGGAATATCTAATACTTTAAAATAATAGATTTCAACTTGGAAACCTAAATTAACAATGCACGATTTATCATTTAAATCACCTGAATCTATTAAAGGTTATAATACAATGTAATCTGACATTTGGTCATGTGGTTGTCTTCTCTATTTTTTCCTAACATCTCATATGCCTTTTTAAGCTAATAATGTATAATCTTTGAAGAATTCAATCTTAAGAGCAGTTCCAAATTTCGATGGTCAAGAGTGGAACAATATCAATCCTATTTTTAAAGAATTAATTTCTAAAATGTTACATCCGAATCCATAAAGAAGACCTACTGCTCTATAAGTCTTAAATCATAATGTTTTTATTGGAAGAGCTAGAATTCTCAAAAATCCTAATAAATAATTACAAAGACATATGCGAGAATTCAAAGTATTTATTTATTTAATCTATTTAAAAGATATCTTCTTAAATATAAACAGCTATGTTAATTTATATTGCAGAAAATTTAATGTCTGAATAAGATAAAAAAAAATTAATGGATGAATTCATGAAATTTGATTTGAATAATGATGGATTATTGACAAAAGAAGAATTACTCAATGTATATTCCAAAACTTTACCACATGAAAGAGCGATTAAAGAAGTTAATGATATTTTCAAGAAGATTGATGTAAATGGAAGTGGTAAAATAGATTATCAAGGTATAACTTAATTATGAAAGGCAGAATTCGTTATTGCAACTATTGATCAAAAGAAATATTTCAACAAAGAAAAATTAATGTTGATTTTTTAATAAATTGATAAAGATCATAGTGGTTAATTAAATAAAGAAGAACTTAAGAGATTGTTAAGAGATATATAGATTCCAATAAAAAAATATGAATAACTATCTAAATAATTAGATTAAAATGGTGATGGATAAATCAATTAAGATGAATTCTTAGGAATGATGCTTTAAATTTGATTTTGCTTTCTTATAATTAAATTATTATTTATATAATAAATAGAATTAATGAATTTCAAACAAAGACATTATATATATATATATAAGATATTAATTAATCATATTGCAGTATCTAAAAAGAAGCCAGTAATGGTTGTATTAATTGAAGGAATATTAATTAATTTTCTTCCATTAAAAACATAACAGGAAGGAAAGTTATCTTCTATTAATTTTTTAGTAGTTTCTGATATCAAAACTCTACCTTCTTCAGAACTGCTTTCCATTTTATTAGCAATGAGAATATCTTTACCATACACATCATATCTAATAATATCTGTACCAATAATTCCACCTATAACATTACCCTAAAAATATAACATATAATATAATACTGTATGTATACCAATCCTCATATGAAGATCATGATAATTAATTTAATTTCTAACTAAATTTATAGCTTCTAACATATTCAGACTCATTTCAACAACATTGAATGCTTCTTGAACTGGATCTCTTTTAAAATTATCAGTTACACCAATTACAACATAACAATCTCCAATTGTGTATAATTTGAATACATTATGTACCTAAGTAAGTTTATCAAATTCATCGAATAAATTTTTAAGCATTGAAACTACTTCTTCTGGTTATACACTTGAAGAGTATTTAGTAAACCCAGCAATATCAGCAAAAAGAATTGTGCAATCATTATAAACATCTGAGAATTATCTTGAATTAGTAGAATCATCTAAAAACTTACTCAAAACATGAATTGGTAATAAACAACTTAATAGATTCATTTTATCTAATTATTTTATCTCTATTTGTTCTTAATTAAGCATTTACTTATAAGAAAATAAATAACTTAACACTTCTCTTTATAATAATAAAACAATTGAAATTAATAAGAAAAACACTTCCCATATATCAATTATAAATACTGAACTAATAATTATTAACCATGCTGTAAACATAAATGCACATATTAATATTTTCTCTTAAACATAAAGCCATTTATGTGCAAAAAGTAAACAACTTGTAATTATTGATTCTATTGACAATATTACTGATTTATCTTTATCTTATTCATAGAATACTCCTAAGATTATACATTAAGATATTAATTATATGATTATTATTTTTAATAATCTTTTTCTTTTCCATTCAAAAAAATGTGTTTTCAAAAAGTATAACTCTATCAAAATAAAAAAACAGCCTAATGCTCTTATTATTGCTTATTGAGTATTAACTTATTATAATTGTGAAAGTATAATAAAGAAGATGTGTATAATCAATAGAAGTAATAATGATATCATTATACTTCTTATTCCATTCTCCAATTCTTTTTCATAATATTGAGCAACAGTATCACTATTCTTAAATGCCTCAAATAAAAATTCTTTTGAAATTAAATGCCAATGATTATTATTATTATTCTCTTAAAATGTTGTACTTTTACCTTCAAGAAAGAACTCTTATATTTTAAATAAAGGAATAGTTTTATTAAATACTTCTGGTTTAGATTTTATAAATAACTCTATATCATTAAATTTTATCACTCTAATAGCAGAATCAATAAATTTCTTTTAGTCATCTCTTCTTTAATTGAATGGAGTTTATTCTTTTATTGAAGAATCCATTACATTCAAAGATTAATCTAAAGGTATATCAGGAATACCTGCTAAAATATTCTGATTAGAAGGATCTTGTTATGGAATATGAATTGATGATTGTTGCTGATATTTATCAATCTTTTCTTAAGATATTTATTAAGTTTATTGTTGTTAATGACTAAAAATAGATTTCTAATGAATCAATTTATTACTAGGAGCAAGAACATTAATATTTGATTATATCTAATTTAAAGCATGAGGAGATGTAATCTAATTTATAGATGGCACATTAGTTTAACTCCCAAGTAAATTTCTTTTTGTTTATTTTCTGAATAATTACAATTAACTAGCTGTAAAATTTAAAGTTGCAGTCTTTTAATTCATTACCTGTTACTAAGTTGATACAATCTATTAAGTTTATGGTATTTACGATGAATTATTTTAAGGAGGATTCAACTATTAATTTTCTTCTTATTTTAAAGGATTTAATTTATATGTTAAATGTCTTGTAGTTTTTTATCTAATAGCTGCAATGCCTGTTTATTTAGGATTTCGGAAAGAGTTTTAAGGTTATTGTTGATTATTCAAGACGAATTTCAATTTTTAATCAATATGTGGCATTTCTGATTTTTTTTATTTATTGTTGAATGATTATTCGAAATTTCTTTTCTTTTCAATTAAGAAAGTATCTATAATTCCTTTACCTTTAGCTTCAATTTTACTTTATGTAAATTTGATTGATTTAACATTTTTGATTTAATCATAAGCTTAAAGTGATATTTGAATTAAGCCTTCTGGACAATGAGCACATAATCTACTAGTTGTATTAACTGTATCTCCAATTAAAGAGAATTATGGTTTAATTGATCCAATTACTCCCATTAAGACTCTTCCATAATGTATTCCAATTTTTAATCCAAAACTCTTTTAGTTAGGTCCCCATTTAAAATTTGTAATTTCTTATTATATACCAAATGCTAATTCTACTAATCTTTCAATTGGATTCTTTAGATGACCCTTAGGCTAGAATTTCTCTACACATTATAATCCAGAACAAGCCATATAAGTTTTACCAACAGTTTCTATCTTTTAACAATTAGTTGAAGAACATATTTAATCAAATTATCGATAAATATTATCTATTAATTACACAATATTTTAATCCTCTGCACTCACTATCATATCAAAACTACACATATCTACAAATATTATGCCAACTAATCCTTAATTCTCTGAAAAATTTACATTTCCTTAATCAACCCTACCTAAAACAAATGGAGGCAATAATAAAGACATTACTGATTGAAACTTTGATCTTTCAATCTCTAATTCCTTTCCGCATATATAATCTTCACGTTAAGTTACATCATCTTAATAACGAGATTATAAAGATATTATGCTGAATGTTACAAATAATACTATTATTTCACCTAAATAAACATCTTTTATATTCTATTTAGAATTTGCATATAACATTACTATTCCACATATTAAAGTCATTATTTATTGAATAACTATAAATATATATTTGTAATTTATTTATTGGGTCAATGAAAATATAACTAAATAGTAAAATATGAAAGAGTAAAACTTATCATCATGATCATATACATCTACACTTATTATAAACAATCTAAATATTGTTTACAAAAATCCAAAATATATTATTAATTTTTTGTAATTTGGATAACAAGATTAATTTATTAGAAATACTTAACAAAAAGTCATTATTAACATTATTGAGAATAATGCTGTGTTAATCTTATGAAATCTCAAACCGTAATGTATTAATAAAAATATGTCCAATCCAAAAAAATAACTAGAATTTGTCAACACTCCTATAAATTTCCATTTTGAAATGTACATTTGAATAAATTCTAAATTGTATATCTATTATTCAAAATTTAATGTGTAATTATTTAATTAAATTAATTGATTCTTATTATCACCCTTATTTAAAATCTATTTTACTGATAAATCTATTTCTGAATCCTTAAACACTTTCTTTATTAAATATTAAATATTCTTCATACTCTAAAATTCTTTTGTAATCGTTTCTAATATTAAATTGAAATCAATGTCTTATTGAGATCTTTCCAAAAAGTTATTGTATAAATAAATACTAAATTATCCAAATAAATTCATTACTAATTTTATTGATATTAAAATTAAAAGAGACATTATAGTTGTAGGTTAAATTAAGAATTCCCTTAATATAATATAATCTAAGTTTATCATCTCAATTGTTATATGTAATAGTATTAATAAGAATGTGCTCAAAGATAGGAATAATGCTAAATATAATTCTTTTGACAAAAATGCTAATTTAAAAAGATGAATTATTAAAATAAAACTAAAAAATATTGCTATTTCTTCTTTTGTATTATAAACCCCTAATCTAACATCGTTTACGTAGCAAGTATATCTTACTACTGTTATTAGAAATACATCCATAATAGTTTCTAATAATAATTATACTATGTGATTATTCTTCAAATCAAGTGATTTCTATTTTATTGTATTTATCTTTACACTTAGGTATTCTTGTTCTACAAAAATGGTTTTAATTGCATATGTTAAAAGTATGGCTGGTACTAAAATTTATAATATCAATAATCTATCTTTAAAAATTAATTAACCATTGTAATGTGGAAAACAATAGAATGTCATTTGTAAAAGCGCAAAACATAAGTTCCATTAAATACATATGCGTTAAGTGGCATCTTTAATTTAAAATAGTTAAAATCCAGTTTTAATTACTAAATTATCAAATAATTCTAATTCATCAATATTGATTGAATATTAATTAATAAAACCCATTACATTTGATTCGATTTCATCATGTCTTGAATAAGAGAAATCACTCATTCTTACTAAACCATGAGATCCTGCACTATAATTGACACAAAAAGATGAATAATATTCACTATCATATTTAGTAACAAAATTCAATAATTTTTCCTTTAAATTGTTATTCATATTGTAAACAATAATAATTTTATTAAAATGAATAATAAATCCAAAATGATTAGTTAAGTATTTGTCATTTAATATTAAATCTAAGACATTACCATCTATGATTAAAGCATTATTGTTGATCTTAATTCTATCAGTTTGAATTTAAGCATTTCTACGTATTAATAAAGTTGAACTTCTTTTAGGATCTTCCTAATTAAGACTACTGATAATTTATCTAATTTGATAGAGAATATCATCTCTTGAGGAAGATTAAAAATTATATGTAATTGTTTCATTATGCAAAACACTATTTTTGATACAAAATGGTAGTACTAATTCATAAGGTTTTTCTGATTGAATAACAATTCTAGATCTATTAGTAATAAAAGATTCTTTAATTAAATCTTGATTATCATTTTAACTAATTCCAAAAAGGCCAACAATATCAAACTAATTATCTGATAATAGTTCAATTAATTAAATTGTTTTTTCATAATCATTAATAATCAAGCTTTTTGATTCTTAGAGATCTTGTTAATTAATTGACATTTTCAAAAAGCAAATAATGATATCACCTCTATTAATTAGATATTATATTTATTTTTAAAGTGAGGCTTTTTTGACTAGATCAAATTTTTCATATCCAGGAATATCAGAAATAGTAACAATACAAAATCTACATAATAGGACTAATTAATTTGATTCTTTAATTTAAAAATTGTTATCTTGAATCATCATGGCAATAAATCTGGAAGGTATTTTAAACATTTTATTATTTTTGGTTTCATCATAATCTATAAATCCTTAATGATATAATCTATAATGAATAATATAGGGTATTTCTAGATCATTAATTTTCAAAACATAACAAAGTTATTCTTGTTTATTATAACCATAAGTTTTATAGGAGATTTTAAATAATTTGCTTAATTTTAAGAGAGCTTCATCTTCAGCTAGAAAATATTAATCAATATTAAATTTAGGTTTTTTGATTCTTTCTCTTTCTGAGAAGCCTAATTTTGAATTTTTCTATGAGGATCGAATATCTTCTGGTAATGTCATTAATTCACTTCTAGTAAGATGACACAAAGAGATAACAGAGAATAATTCAAAATATTGAAAAGGTTAACTTAAACCTAATTCAACAAGTGTATTTTCTCTATAAATTTAAATTTATTTAACTTATTCTTCTTCAGGTTCTTAACTAACTTAGGAATGTTATTATTAATTAATAAGATTTCCAGCTAGAGTTGATGGAATAAATCCTCCATCCATACTATGAAAGATTTCTAAGGAAGGTCTACCACTATTTGGATTTAATATTGGAGAATGAAGAGTTTAAGTATTTTATTTAATAAATGTTCTTTTATTTAATCCTGTATCTTTTCCAATATTGAAATTTAATTATTAATGAGAATTTATACTTAATTTTTGAGGAGGTACATTAGGACTAATAGTTTAAATCTTTTCTTATAAAATTTCAATATTTTAATCATTAACTTATTTAGTTAAATTATAATAGAATTAAGTTTTTTTAAAAGATTATGAAAGTACTAAATCGTGAATTAATGTTTGATCAATTTAATAGATTGTGTCTCCATGACATAATGCTTCTATTTTAGCATCAGATAAGATTTAAATATTTAGAAATACATGTGTAGTATCCATAATTTCAGTCATATTTACTGGGTAATTTAAAGATTATTATTTAGTAACTGTTTTAGTTTCTAAAATTAATTCTTTACAATCTTTCGTTTGTTATTATTATTATTATCTATTCTCATTGATAATTAGAATTACATCAAAGAGATGAAGAAATAAACTTAAATAAGAAGGTATAATAACTAAAAATTATTAATAACAATGCATTAGAATATGATTGAATGACTTTTATGATGAATATCCATAATATTAGATTAATGATGCAATAATGGGCATAATTAAATAGAGAAAGAATTGTAAAATGGATAGATTTTTATATCTATTAATTTTTCGTGTTTATTTTTGAATAGATTAAACTTTTCTACAATACAATGATTATCCTCCAACATTAATTAATATTCCGAATACCCATTCATTAAATTAAAGTGCTTATCCAAAGAATAATATATTTTCTGGTAAAATGGGTTCTCCTTTAGGATCTTTCGATAATTTAATATGACCTTCAAATTACTCAAAATTGTAATTATTATTGAAAGTAAGTTTACCTTTTAAAATCTTTCTTAAATAATTTAAATCTCCTTTATTAGGTGCATTCATTTCAACTTTCGTAGTCTTCATTGGTTCTTTACGCTAAAGAAATGCTTATTTGAAATAGCTTTTAGAATAAAAGTAACCATGTCTATCACTCATATCTAGGATAACTAAATCTCCAGGACATTATTAGTTACGACTAAGAAGTATGAAATCTCCTCTTTTTAAATTACTATAAAACACATCTTCTACATTAGAAGCAGGTAAAATATCAGGTACATTTGATTATGAATCAAGTTATTAAATACTTCTGATTGAAGAAGATCTAGCTTACTTTAAGAAATTCTATGTATCATTGAATACTAAGTCTTCTTTTTTGAATCCTTTCAATCTAGTGTATTTGATTCTAGTTTGTTACAAAATACATTGCCAACACTACTTTTATTCTATCAACAATTATATTGTTCTAATTCCTGCTTCAATTAGAAACGGCAAAATGTATACTATAAACAAAATGAGTCTATTTGTAAGTTGTTCAATATTTACGACGATATAACATCTTCTTAGTCATCATCTTATGTTATTCCCACTAAAATCAAAATCAAACTAGCCATAAGAAACAGATCATTAGTATAGTCTCTAAACATACTATTCAATAACTCTACAATTTTCTAATTCATCATTCAAATTCATTACCTCTTTTAAGCATCCAGTCATATATTCATATAACCATTATTTCTTTCTTACTTTGTCATCCTAACTCTATCCATATTCAAAAGTAAGCTAACGATACTTTTTATTTATACATCAACTAGACTTTTTTATTTTTCCATTTCCTAATTTATTTAATATCAAATTTTTAAACTAATCCTTCCTATTCTTTCTCTCTTATCATTCAAACTATATATAAATATTATAATTCTATTCATTTATGTATATCTCAAACAGTTCACTCTAAATTACTTAATATTAATCAACTCTCTATTTTTAATATCTATACACATTCATTCAAATATTAATTCATTATTATCATAATTTAATCAAGGATTTTTATACATTATACTAAATTATTTCATTTCTTATTATATATATGAAACAGATTTATTATCAATTCATTCATCATAATAATATAAGGTTTATAAATTCAAATGTTTTTCATTTATTTTATAAGTTTCTTATTAAAAAATTAAATTACTATCTTTAACAATCATATTTATTAAAAACTAAATATATAACTATTTATATCATTCAAATCTGTTTTACTATCTTATCATCATTTCAATTTAAATATATTCTCTCCTCTTATCACTTTATTATCAAATTTTTATAAATGTAATTTTTATGATAATTTAAATTTGAACCATTTTTTTATATTTTAGTTATCATGAACTATGATACAGAGAAAATTGCATCAATTAAATTAGTAATTATTGAATATCAAATGTTAAGTCTACTTAGCTTTTATACTTTATGAATTACAAAATTCAATAATATAGTCCATCACAATTATATGAAAATAAAGCCAGATTATTTGAATCCCTAATCAAAGAATGGAACAATATGAATAATTAAGAAAAAGCAAAATATCGTGAAAAAGTCAAATTTACAAATGAAATTGAAAAAGTAAAATAAAACAAAGATGAATCTATTCTTGAAACCTTATAAGAAACTGCAATTGAAAAATAAGAATAAATTTCATAATAAATAATAATCGAAAAAAGTTAAAGGCAAGAGAGTTCTGAAAATTTATCAGCATAATTAATTAAAGAAAGATGTATATATAAAATTAATTTACCTAAGAAAATAGCAATAAGGTTAGATTTTTTGAAGAATAAAAACAAGATTTTTTAAATTCATATGATATAATTTCAGAAAGAGAAACTAATTCATAATAATTTCCAATTAAAAGTTAAACATCTCCAATTTAAGAAGTAATACAAAAAGAAGAAGAAAAAAAATAGAATGAGATTACTGATAATTTAGATAAAAATTAAAATTACGAAAATTCTAATTTAGAAAATGAAGAATATGAAAAACCAATAATTCGTTAAAGAAAAAAACCAGGTCCAAAACCAAAGGATCGTTCATTAAAAGGAATAGTTGAATAAATTAAACCAAAAAAGAATTCTGATTAAAAGAAAGCATTAAGCCCTTCAAAATAAATATAGTTAGAATAATAAAAAAATCCAAAATATTTCTTTATTGAATAAACACTTACATTAAGATAGCTTAAAGATTAAGTTAAGATTTTTTTAAAACAAAATGAATGATTTTTAAATAATTATAAAGCTATATAGATATATAACATTTTTTTTAATCAGTCTTTTGATGCTTATGAATGATTAGATTTTCGAATTCTGATTTTTGCTAAACTTTAACTTGTTGCAGGAGTTGAATTATTTATTAATCTTGAATCTACACTATAAAAACTATTTGCATGATTATGTGATGTAATTTTATATCGTTATTTAAGTGAAATCCATGAATCAAGATTTTAAATTAATTTAAAACATTCTTTTGATGATTATTTATTGATAAGATTGGATATTAAATTACATATTGCCTTTATAAATTCATTTAAATAATTAAATTTTTTATTTTAAACTGAATTTGATGCTGTTAATTCTGCCAATTATTTTATGACACTTAATAAATTTAATTTCATAAATATAGTATGGATATTGAATTCTGATCCAAATTCCAAATTAAGTTTTAATAATTTGATAAAAATACCTTAAAATGTTTGATTAGGTCTAACAGGGAAACATTATTTACAAATTTCAATTAGGCAACTCCAAGTTGTTGCAGTTATTCTGTTTAATAATTGAGTCTACCCTCTATTTATTCCATATTCAATCAATAAATAAAGTGTTTCACAAAGTAGATTTTTACTAATATCCAATTCTATAGGTTAAGTTGTTGAAGTTTTCCATTATAAAGAATTAATAATCACTTTACATAGATAATCTATATATATTTATGCATTGTCTTAAAAGTTTATATATTCAGGTTTCTTTTTTATGATTAGATTTACTAATTATCCACATAATATAGCACTATTTTCTTTTATATAAGGTGATAATTTAATTTTAAATAAATAAATCTAATTATAAAATTAGCATTACTTTCATTAAATTATCAAAAACTTTGCTGTTTTCATCAAGCAAAATTATACCTAACCATTATTATCGATTATTCATAAAATTGTTTTTTAAGAATAATTTATGATCTCCTAAAATCAATTATTAAATCAAAATTGATATAAATTATTAAAGATTATAACAAAATGGTTCATCCTTCATCAGACTATTCGAATATAATTATTTAATACTTTTCTATCTAATATTGATCTAATTTTTATTCATTATCCCATTTACCTAATGTTACATCTTTTAAAGATAAAGGATATAATTAAAATGATAAATTTCTTGAATGTTTTTTTTATAAATTTTTTTAACCATCCTTAATATAAGAAACAGACTTTTAATCACATTTTGTATTACTTTCTTTTGTTTCAACTCTTAATTCTAAAGGATTAGGATTATAGCTATAAGGAATAAATGGATCTTTAACTGAATCTTATTCATCTAAATCAAACATTACTGAAGCACTTCTTAAAACTATTAGTTTTTCTCTTGTTGCTCTTGATTGTCTTTTTTTATGAGGTTCATTTATAATTTCTGCATTCTATATAGCTACTCTAATAACATCCATCATTGAAGCTGGCTTTTCATTAGTTGAAGGTAAAATTTTATTAGAAACTTTATTGAAAAATGATAATTATTTAATTGTTTTCTTTTATACAAATGGTTTAAGTTAATCTATATCATATTTTAAATGAATCTTTTCTTCAACAGTAAAATTAAAATTATTCTCGTTTTATTAATATACTTTTTCCTTCAATTAAAAATCTGGATGTAAAGTAAAAACTTCAATCATGTTATTATTTCTAAAGTTTTATGAACATTTAAATAAAAAATCTTATCTATTTCTAGGGTTCAATAATATGTTGATAATATCTTCAAACAAATTACTTGCTTTAAAATATGTCCATATTTATTCATATAATTTTTATTAATGTTCTGTTACATGATGGCCTAATATATTAATTTAAATAAATAGATTTATCAAAAATGTAGTAGATTATTCATAATGTATGTAGTAAAAAAAAGCATAAGGAATGTTATAATGAAGACAAAAGTAAATTGAAATATCTTATTCTTTTTCTAAATAAAATATTAATAATTGAGTTAAATGATTAAAATTACAATTCTTTAAATGATCTTCATTGAAACATTCAGACAAATAAGAGACTAAAAATTTAATGAAAAAAAAGTATTACAAGCAATTTATAAATAAGCTGGATTGACTTTAGCAATAATTTAATGGTTTTCTTCATCAGTTAAACTTTGTAATGATCTAATTGATCTGATATGATAAATATGAGCAGGAGCTTATAAAGAGTAACAATCCTTAAGATTAGGAATATCTTTTAAACTAATTTTGTGATTAAATTCAATTTTCATCCACTAAAATAAATTAAATAATTTACACAATTTGCAGGATCATATTTTAATGGACAATAAATAAATGAAAGCATAATTTCAATGTTTTCTTTTAATTTAAACATATTTTATGAATTAATTACACTACTTGCAATTCTTTTAGAAATAACAGGTATTGGATAATTCATTTTACTAAGCCACCTCTATAGCTCCACAACAATTTGATTTTCTTTTCTAATTGAATTTGATTTTGTAGGACTATCACATTCAGTTGGTTCTTCATAGAATTATATTTCAACATTTCTTGGAGTTCTCATTGCAATTATTTCTTCAACTTCATGAAAAATTAATGGATTAATCTCATGAATTAAAGGCCATTTCTGTACTATTTATTGAAGACTTGTATAAAGTTCAAGAGTAACTGTATAATCATGAATATTTCCTAAAATTGTTTTGTAAGCTTAAGCAATTTATTCTGCAACTGACTAACCTTCTTTAGAATCATTCTTTGGAATTTGCTTGATAAAAAATTGTAGTTGCTTTATACATTCTTTATATATTCCTGGAAGATGACTTTTTATCACATCTGATAACAAATAAGTGTCTTGTTAAAAAACTAATGTGCAAGCATTTAAGAACTAAATCTAAAACTATGTGATTGGTGCAAATCTCTCAATTATTAACTCCAATAACATTTTGATATTTTAACCAAACATTGATTAAAGCATTAACATATAAAAAAAGAGATTCTCTTATTTAAGTAATAGATGCCACATTGATTGAAAAGGTAATAATTATGCTATCTGTTTACAAGCTTTTGACATAAATGAATATCGAATTTATTCAATATTTGTGTTAACCTAACATTTAATTAATATATACAGCTTCCTTTAAATATTCTGCACACTTTAATTGCATTGATTGATTAAAATCTATTTTTTTATTATAATTTTATTTTTTATCATTAAATATATAACAAGGATAAAGATGATCCAAATTGATAAATACTAAATGTTCTATTCAAATTCATGTTAGAGATAAAAATCATTAAAACAAAATTACTAATATTCTAAATTAATTTTAAGTTATCTCGTCTAATAATAATAATTATAAATTAACTCAAATACAGTAAAACTATTATGATTATAAATTTTGTCTAAGAAATAATTTGATATTGAGATAATTTCTTTAATTTTTTCTTAATTTTTTAGTTTTTAAAATAGCTACAGTTAATTAATTATTCTAACTGGAGATACTTTTAAATTTTTAAGATATAATATTATTATATTCTATTTTTTTTTCTTTGCCTTTTTTTAGCATCTAATTTCTATTTTTTAAATAGTATTGAAATTTACAAATTAGATTTAAAAAATAAATTAATAAAACTAATCTGAAAATTCTTC